GTCCCTCCCCTCTTGGAATCGATCAGGAGTGCGCGTAACCGTGAAAAGAGCGTGGTTGGTAGGACGGAACACCGGAGGGGTTCGTCCCTTCCGTGTGAACGCGAAATACGAGTGTATGTACCGTGGTTCGGCGATTATTCGGTACTTTGGTCGACTTTTTGCTTGGAAATATCAGTTGGATCCTTTCTTCGTGTCCGTTAATGGTACGGATCGAATCGGAGAAAATGTTTTGTAACGAGCGTTATTCTTGGTGGTGGCTCGAGGGTTCAGAGCATGAAATGGGCCACATGTACTATCGTCTATATTGCCGTCCTTAGTTAAAATACCGTACAAATTCTAATTATCATTTTTTTTTTAAAATTTTTCGAAATATTTAGAGCCCCATGTATTTTTCAGTTTTTAGTTAAAGCTAGAATACCCCCTATGCTTTTTAGGGCTCTAGAAACAGCCTTATTTATTTGTCCTAACTCGGTTTGAAATTATTTTACCAGTTTATATTGTTCTGTGTGAAATTTACCGATTTAGATAGTCCTAAGATACGTGTAGAAAAATAAAATGAATATGATTTAGGTCGTTTTCTATGTTAAAATTGCCTATGACGAGAAACAAGGACGACAGAATCTTCGAATGTTATGTCCAAGTAGATCGAGGATGCTTTTTAACCGACGAAGGGACAGATGTCCGTAACCGTTGCAGACGATACGATTAATCGACGCTATAATCGAGGTCCATTAACTCGTAGCCCCGACGCTGCTTACGAGAACGAATTACACACATTTCTGGCTAGATATTTGTCGAACGATTTTCAGATCGATTTATGCCTCAAACGTAGTGTATTTTCGTGATCAGAACAAAATTCCAAAGTAGAAAATTTACCTCTCGATTTTCTTTTCCCTGTTACTCGATCCTGTAAACTAGTAGCTCTGCACACAATTTATTTAGAGAATCGATTCGTCCCCCCAAGAAGCAGAACACAGACGGACAGGGATATACCGTCTATTGGACAGAGAGTTTCGTGTGGAATTTATCGTAAAAGTTAAGATCGCCAGACGTATTTTAAATTAATTTAATTTAATTTAATTCTTATGGGTAAAAATCCTATTTTACAATATGCAATATTTTAAAATAATCAAATAGAACCGAGGCAAGACCTAACAATAATAAGAATAAAAGTTACATTGATAATTAATAGAATTCGGATGTTTATGCAAATATAGAATTTTATGGACGCAAGAAAAGTTTGTTTACTACCTTGTTAAGGATTCTAATAGGTTCGAAATATAAAGAAGATCGGAATAAACTTCGTGAAACTTTTTACTGTATTGAATTGTAAACAATCGAATATTCTATAAATGTATAAAATTCGCAGTTTAATAATTAACTTAGAAATAATGATCTCTGTTCGGTCCAATTATAGAGAACACTATGTAATTCAGACCCAAAATCATTTATGTTGACTGCGAAAATATCGTTTTTAACGCTTCGAGGCGCGACACAGAGGAAACGGGCGTTCAGTCTCTCCTGTTTTCTCTCGTTTCGCGGTGGTGGGTTCCCTACGTTCACGTTTAGCTTGGAGCGCACCAAGGGGAGACAGTGAGTAAGGGAGAGAGAACATCGTATCCTTCCAACGTGAGCGAATATATACTTACATACATATTATACAGTCAGTGTCAAAACTAAGTATACACCTTACACAGATTAGGTTCGTGTAATATTTCTGTATCATCCTACTATTATAAGATCATGGCAGTAGATATGATTTTCATATTATCAGTAGAGTTTGATATGATCAGTACAGTTGGATATGATTTTCTTAACATTTTGGGGATGAATAGGCAGTCAAAAAATTCGAGAAAAATAAATTCGAAGATATAACCACAAAATCTTGTAAATATCGTTAAAAATGGTGAATACATTATTATGATTTGGGGCAGCATGGCAACCTCTGGTGTAGGATAATTGGGTTTTTATTCATAGTACTGTGGACAAATTTCGATGTTTAAATATTTTTAAATCAAATTCTGGGTCGCGTCGATTCGACTCGGCTACGCTCGACATTTCACGAAATCCATCGGTCCCCATTTTTTAATAAGAAATCATGACGGAAAATTCTCTGCTTTTGCCTCCTATATATTCTTGCGATCATTCGTTCGGAGGTCGACGAAAAAAAAGGGGAGAAGACAAAGGGAACGAAAAATTCGACTCTTGGTTTAATGAAAACCTCGATGCATCGTGGTTCCACGGAGCGAAAGAAAGAAATGGGAGTCGACGACCCATGAGTGTTTTAATTTGACGCATCGTGAGTCCATTTTGTATTGAAATCACCGATGCGAAACTATCGTGATGATTTTTCAGTTCTACGATCGACGAGCAACCTCGTGTCGATTGTTTTGACAAATCGTAAAATCCCGTCGAAAACAATCGATTTTTTGTTCAGGTGGACGAAGATTGGATGTGGGGAATTGTTGTATTTGGACGAACCTGATGTGGACCATTATCATAAATCGTAAAATCCCGTCGAAAACGATCGATTTTCTTCAAGTGTACGAAGATAGGACATATCGCGAATGGCTGCATGTGGTCGAGAATCGTTTGTAGTTGCAACCTCGGGTAGCTGTTTGGCAGGGGTATCGTGTTTACGCAGGATCGTGTATAACCGGCATCCATCCCTCCGGCCTGGCGAGGCAGCGTCAAATGCTCTGTGGCAGTCACGGTTGGGGCGACGCTGGTATTAAACGAGAGTCGGCGAGTGGGAGAAGAGATACGAGCTCGCTGTCGGAATGAAAAGGGTGCTTTTCGAGCCCTCCCTACCGTGTTCTCGCCGTGGACTCGGTTCAACCTCTGTATCACCCGAACGTGTTCGTTCTCGGAAATGGGGAACGAGGATCGTGGGCCTGCAACTCTACGATAACACCAACGACCGTTCTACAATTCTTGGATATACAGGGTGTCCCAAAATAGCTTCGACTCCCGTAATTGAGGGCTTCCTGGGATGATTTGAAACAACTTTTTCCTTAGCAAAAATGTTCTCCGATGATTTGTTAACGAGATATTAACGAAAAACCCCTTACCAATTAGAGCGCGAGTCCGCCGGCCGAGCTTCCGCGGCAGCGTTGGCTACCAATCACAGCGCGGAGCCAACGATATCGCGCGGAAGCTCGGCCGGTGGACTCGCGCTCTGATTGGTCGGAGTTTTTCGTTAATATCTCGTTAACAAAGCATCGGAGAACATTTTTGTTAAGGAAAAAGTTGTTTCGAATCACCCCGGGAACCCATCAATTCCGGGAATTGAAACTATTTTGGGACACCCTGTAGAACGGTAAGCCAAATGCGCACAGCCACTCGCCATTTCCTCGTGAACTCGAAAGTCGAGCAATCGATCCACATCTGCGTATGTCTCTCCATTTCCAGCGTTTTATTTTTTCTGCCACGCCGTGAACAAAAGTGTCGATGAAATTTTTTATTTGATGAGAAAATTGGAGGATTTTCGACGAGGTTTCGTTGCATCGGATAATGCAGAAGACAGTAGAGGAATAGCCACACACACAGGGTTGATCGATGCAATTGTGACCGCTGCAATTACTAGGTTGTGCAACCGTTGCACGAGATTCGATTGGGCCACTTAATCAACGGATGGAATATTCGTACGGTTGGTCGACGTGAATGTGGCCAACCGGGCGAGATCACGAGTCAAGAACTTTGGGAAACTGAATGCTAACCAGTTCGTGAGTTGAACGGATGTTCCCTTAGCGTTGATGTTTTAATTTAAGGAATATTTCGCGTTGGTTTGGGGGTTCCTTTGTCTTACCTTTCGATGTGTAACCCGACTGACTAGATTTCAATCAGTTCTGTCGGTTCCTATGAAAACACCTCAACAATTCTGTGACAGAAACTAACTTAGTTAGATCGTCGACGAAGACAACGCGTCAGGCTAGTTAAAGAGTTTCGCAGAGGGATCTAGGATGCATAAAGACTGGAGTAATATTTCTCCGTTCGTCTCGTCCAAATACTCTGGAGAAACTCGAGGAGTTAGAATGCACCCTTCGTCGTCGTCTCGCATTCTCGCGTCTCCAGATAACCCGGGCTTGTCGCGTTCCTCTCGACGACCTTTTGTCGCCGCTTTAATTCAATATTTCCGGGACCGAGTGAAGGCTCGACAGGGACAAAAACAGGGGGAAGGGAGTGTCGCGCATTCTTAGCTTGGACATTTCTCGAGAGCACGTGCGCCACAAGTACGAAACTGCTTTTGCGTCTGGAGTGTACTGAATGTCAGTGTGGCGACAAGCGTTGCTGGGAACAGTGGTAAGACTCGGTAATTTGATGTTTTGGAGTTTATGATTGGAAGTTGGTCCCGTTGGATTTGTATATTGGTCCAGTTGGATTGAAATTTGCTCAAGTTATATTGGAAGTTGATCCACTTGGATTGAATGTACGTTCAGTTTGTTAGTGTCGTCGTGTTTTAATTGGAGTCGAAGACAGATGGCCTGTCGGTCATTGACCATGTGAGAATTTACGATGGAGTTTCTAGAATGCGTGCGCTCTTGAAAGTGCATGAGACTAAACAGACCTGGCGTCGTATGATGGTGGTAGACCACGTTGGGTCTTTCGGCTATCGGTGACGTAGATGGTTCGTTTATATGAAACTGATAAGTGGAAATTAGAGATGGCAAGGGGCCCGACGTTATGTTGCCTTAAGAATAGGGACATTGTTCCTAGACTCTAGAATCTAGAGGATCTGGTCACTTACTTTTGGTATATTATTTCAATAAGGTAGTCTTATTAGGAAAACTGAGGTGGAGAAGAGATAGCTTTGTGTATAAAAATGGGAGGAGCCAAAGGACCGTAGTTCTTTTAAAAATCAAAGGCCTAGGATTAATATTTCGAGAACAAGTTGGATTAGAAGTTTTCCATTACGAATTGAGCATGCCATGCATACCAAACCGTATCGAAACACCAACTCTGCGATCTGTACTGACCCAGCCTGTTCGATGTGATTACAGACGGAGCTCTCGCAAAACCTGCAACAGCTGTCGGAGAGGGCGCGCTCGACGACGGAATTCATTCAGAGGCTCAAAGGAATGACGGACAAAGTGCACGTGAGTATTCGCCTTTGGTGTCCTATTTAAATTTCGCGACAGAGACTGTGGCGGTGGTTTCCATGAAATTAGGGGAAAGACGCGGTGTTAATTGCACCGGCTACCACTCTTCGTCCCTACCAAGAGCGTTCTCTCCCATTCCAGATCCATCCCCATTTCCTATCCTTCGTCTTCAGCGGTACAAAGCCCTTGCACGTTATTACAAAGTGTATGAACATGGACGTCGAGGGAGGAGTGATAGCTGTACAGAGCAAATTGTATCCGACGAACCTAATAACGTCGTCGTGACTTTCGTTTACCTTCGTCGTTGTTACGTGAACGGCCCAGAATTGTTCGACGAACAATCGAGTAGTATACAGGGTGAACCACGAAGCGTGATCAGTAGATGGCGGATTTTATGCATTTGTAGCCTATAAAAAAAATACATTAAAAATCAAAACTTTTATCAGATCCAATGAGTTTTCAAATTTATTCTGAATCCAATAAGATACTTCAGGTTTATCTATAAAATAAACTGAAGATGACCTTGAAAACTCTTGGGGGGGGGGGGTATTAACAACAAATTTGGGTAGAATCATCTTAAACAATTTTTAAAAATCATCTAAAAATTTTTCGATCGAATAGCTAGCAGTAGAATAATCTAAGCTGATCACGTTTCATGGACCACCCTATATGGTAGTCAGGTTAACGAGTACATTCGTCAGGTTTTTCTACACAAATTGTCATTTCACGTTATGAAAAATGGAAAGTGTGTGGCCTAATAGATTCTCAAGGGACAGAGTACTGTCTGGTATTATCGGGAATTCCGTCCACGGAGATTCTCCATCCACCCCAATTGGAGTTTGCATATTGTTTCTCAGTAGCGTCGGTTAAAACAACGGGAGACGATGGAACGGCGAAACAGAGGGAGGGTGTTTGCTCCGTAAGTCATTCGAAAGCTTTCAAAGTTCTCGAGCAAGTTTATCAAAGCGGTGGTCCACGGTTGCTCGGAATTTCGTGGGGGAAGAGGATCCCTTCGACCTAGCTGTTCATTTGCTTACGGTTTCACGTCGACAGGAAGAATGCGTGACGTTGGAGGAGGAGGTGGAGGACAGGGTCGCTAGTCTGGTGAGCGTTCTGCAGGCGAGAAAGTCTCGACTGATCGAAGCCGCCCGACAGACCAGAGAGGCGAGGGTACGATCCCTCAGGGACCAAGTGACTAGATGCGCGTCCCACCTGCAGGCGACCACCGCCCTTCTAACCTTCTGTATCGAGGCGCTGAAGGAGAACGATAGCGCAGCTTTCCTTCAGATCGGTGGCATGTTGTCTGTCAGAGCTGCAAACGCTGCTGGATCGTGGGGCGCCGCCGAGGGGGTCCAAGAGATCGCGAGGCTACCGTTGCTGGATCTCACGCTGGACGACAAACCGTTGCGACGGGCGATCGATCAACTAACCTTTGTCCAGATGAAACGTGAGTGAATCGAAATATTCCTTCTCGCTTATCTTAATTCGCATCCTTTGGATGCTAAGTGTTTATTCCACGACGAACCAGGTCGATCGAAAGGGTAGAAAAGCTAGGGAACGTCAGGACAGACCATGGCCAGCAGGATCAAAAAAGGTAGCAAACATCAACCTCAGGCAATTGATCGTAAGGATCGATAGAAACTAGTGTTACATGTATTGTTAAGGCGTGTATCCATTTGTTGCGTATTCATTTGTTACGTATCTTTGTATCGTATCACCGTACGATACAACGTTTGCCCGTCCACGTTGATACATAACGGGGATACGCATTAAATGGATACGTACCTTTAGAGTTCGTTCTGGTTCGTCGATGTTGAAGAAACTATTCTTTAATTAAAATTACTCGTATCCCGCGGAACATCCTTGATCGAATCTTATACGATTGACTCTACGTTGGACGCAGCATCCGAGGGAGAGGAACGATTCCCAACCGCAGGTAATTAATTACGAGGGAACATTACGAGCGACAGAACTGGCCAAATGTTGCGAAACAAGTTTGCTCGTTCGTCCAGAAGATGCAACGCGATCCTTCGAACTCGTATTCGATCACGTTCAAATTAATTTGGGTATTCATACTTTTGGTACACCCTGTACATACTCGTTCGCCTTTCATAAACGCGAATAATCGTGGGTCGCGTTATCGACGGTGAAACCGTCTCGACAATGTATTCCGTTTGAAAAGGGGAGGAGGCCTCGTGCAAGGTGCCGCTAATAAATCTGCGCGACGGCCGATCAGGATTTCGCTTTCCTCGCATAAATTTCCCTTTATCCTCGAGCTTTTTCGTAGAATAGAGGCCCCGTTAAAAATTCCATAAAATGACCAAAGAAATTTATTTTAAATATAAGAAATTGAGCACCAATCAAATGCTTCGGGAATAAAATTTGAAAAAAAAAAAAAAATCGAGAAAGTAGAGTTAGTCACTTTGGGCTCTGAACGACTAAGATCATTTTTCGAACATTGGAAACAGAGCAGAAATCGTATATCGGTGCTTCCATCATAAGTGGAAAATTCGAATCCGAAACCCATCCAATAGTTGTCTTTTCGGTCCCGTCGAATGTCGAAAAATAATTGAAATTCGTAGATCACAATTAATTTAATTTCGATCGAATTGTCTAATATCGGCCGATTTTAGCGCCAGGAGCACCTCTACTGATACCTGAAGAGTGCAGCGCCGAGAACAACAGCGTGACCGTCGCCTGGCAACCTCCTTCTGGACACGGAATCGGTGGATGTGCCGGCCAGCGAGGTCCTGCCATCGAGGGTTATCTTTTGGAGTTGGACGATGGATGCGGTGGAGAGTTCAGGGTGAGCAAAATCGACAATTTATCTTCTTTTTCACTGTTGCGGGATGTTAAAACGATGGTTTCGGGTATTAGATAAAAAGTGGTTGACGACTCATTTTTCCAGGACTTTCCTCCGAGTTTTTATTTTTATTGACGAGTTTTAGACCGATAAGTATCCCAGAATTTTCTCAGATTCTTTGAAAACCTAAAACCTAAAACACTAAAAACATTAGGATTCGAAGTAAACGACCCAGTTTGTGTACCAAGTGGGAAAAATATGTTTCCCTACGGAGGGTTAATTTTCAGAAGTTATTACGTTTTCATTAAACCCAAATGGAAGCGTTACAGCTTTCTTGAACGTTATTCTTCACGCCTGTGCTTAATCAGGAGGTGTATTGCGGCCGCGAGACAATCTGCACCGTGGACGGATTGCACTTCAACTCTTTATACAACGCTAGGGTGAGGGCGTTCAACAGCGCCGGGGAGGGTGAATATTCGGAGCTGATCGGTCTTCAGACTGCCGAAGGTAAGGTGTCGAAACATTTTATCTTTCGTTCTTCCACCTCCTTTTCTTCCTTCACTTCGTCTGTTTCCTCGGATCGAAAAGTTCCTCCTGTCCTATCGACGCTACACCGACGAAATCGTGTTGATTTCACGAAACTCTATTTATCATGAATCTGGATGACAGTTGCGTGGTTTTCGTGGGCGACCGGGGCGTCTGGTATACCACAGGAGGTGTCGATATCCGAGGACGCGATGAGCGCGTCCTGCGAGGGCTACGAGCACCGGGTCGTTCTCTCGAGCGTCGGATTCTCGCGAGGTGTCCACTACTGGGAATTGACGATCGATCGTTACCACAGCGACACGGATCCAGCGTTCGGAATTGCCAGGGCGGACGTGTCACGGGATCAGATGCTCGGTGAGTAAATCAAACGACACCCAAGTTTGGTGGTTCTACAGTGTGTTTACCCCTTGCTTTATAACATCGAGTCAGTGGTGACGATATCAAAATGGATTCAACAAACAGGAATATGATTTGGTTTCTTCGAGTCAAAATGAAATACTAGTTTGCTGATATTAAAGGCTCCCACAAACCAAGATAATTCACATCAACGCGAAAAATTTCCGCAACAATTTATCTATAAAAAAATCTATAAGTTTATATATCAAAATTTTCGCTGCCGCTGCGAATATTTCGCGTTGGTTTGTGGGAGCCTTAATATTGAACTTTTAGAGTGAATGAATGTGACGCGGTAACGTCGGTCACCAATCGCAGCGCGTAGCCAATGTTACCGCGGGAACTCAGCCGGCAGACTCTCGCTCTGATGGGTTGGGATTTTTCGTCAATATCTCGTTAACAAAGCCTCGGATAACATTTCTGTCGAGGAAAAACTTGTTTGAAATCACCTCAGTCTCCTATTTCCGGGACCTCGAACATTTTTGTTACACCCTGTATACCACACCGTCGACCACGCCAACAGCTTTCTCGAGCGATTTCGTGTCGATATTCCGCAGGCAAGGACGACAAGGGTTGGAGCATGTACATAGACCGTCAGCGTTCCTGGTTCATGCACGGCGGCGGACACGCGCAAAGGACCGAGGGTGGCGTGCAACAGGGCTCGACGGTGGGCGTGCTATTGGATCTGGACACGACCCATACACTTCGTTTCTTCGTGAACGACCAACCGCAGGGCGGGATCGCGTTTCGGGATCTTTACGGGGTGTTTTATCCGGCTGTCAGCTTGAATCGCGGCGTGACCGTCACTCTGCACACGGCGCTGGACGTGCCGCGCCATCTGTTGGCGTTACACGAGGAGTACGTTAGTGAGACGATTCAGAGCTAGGGGTACCTGACGGTCCTGAAAAAGGGCTTACTGCAGGATGTCGGATCACCCGGGCCCGGGCCCGGGCCCTTCGATAGACCTAGAGAGTTCGACGGTCAACTCGAGAAAATAATCGAGGAGAATCTAACGGAGACCAATTGACATGGGTATCGGCCACGGTTCCGACCGTCGTCAAAGTTTTATCGGACATTGATCTATTTTTTTCTACTCGACGTCGACGAGGAATATTTTCTCCCGACGGATCTATCGATGTTGATGTGTTTTGGTCTCGAATAGAGAACGGGTGTGAATTGGAATCATCGATGATTTCGGTTAGTGCGTCGCGATTGAAGCTTCGCGACGTGTCGGTTCGCAGTTGGGAACCTAAAAGGAAGCGTAGAATAAGGAAATGTCAGAACACGGCGACAAGTTACTTACGGTTCGGTCGAGACAGACGTTTCGAACGGAGGAACACGAACCTTGGGAGATACAGTAGGGGACAAACGTATGGGACCAGGTCTGATGATTAAAAAAAGAGGAAAGTATTGATCTATAAAGATTTGTAAGTGTAGTTTGCTGAAACTGGCTGGAAATGATTTGTTGGTGTACTGATTCCGTAACTTTTATTACCGTAAATCATCGATGAGTGTTTGAAGGCTCCTCAGCACTGAGCATTAAGAAACACTCATCGCAGATTTACTGTACTTGGCCTGAAATTATCGAGTTGTGGAAATTAGTGTCCTTCTACGATAACTATTCCAAAAGCGGTCCCAAGTTTCGAGCGTTAATCGAATACTTACTGTATCTGAAATTGCAAACGTCGATCACTAATCGATGATTTACTGTATATCGTTACAAAAAAAAAAAACGAACTACTGTTTCATCAATCATGAATTCTGGTCTCATACTTTTGACTGCTAGTGTACACACATATGAATGGGTTTTCTCGTCTAGAATCACACTGCCAATAGCCGAGACTCTTATCGAAGACACTGCCGTTTCCGTAAAAGTTACGCCGTGAATCAGAAGTGTTCTCACAGCGTGACGATCGCGCGACCAGCGCGGTCGTTTCTCTTTATCCATATCGACACGCGTATATGTGTAATCGCGTAGGTGTTAAGCTCTATCGATATTTAATTGAAACGCAATCTCGTAAGGAGGGGGAATCAACGAAGCGAGCAACTCGAAGCAAGGCACCGCCGTATGCACGCACGCAACGAACGGTTAGCTTTAGCGTTAAAAGTAAACACGAATCGAGTTACAGTGGACTCTAAGTATGTTGTCACTCTGAGCCGTTCCTAGGTTGTTGGTCGTCCGGGTGCAAAAATCGCCGCACTAATTAATTTAATATTATTTAACTATGAATTTGATGTGCAGTGTTTCCTTTATATCCATATATACACGTACTTTTTAAACATTTATCATGCAAAAGGGATATTTTTTAATTTTTATTTTAACGAGTAGTGTTACAAATATTGTGTGTAAAATTAATTTAATTGGATTCCTTTTCTCTAAAATTTTTATAATCGTCAGAAAAGTATTTGATTATTATTCTTACTAGCCAAAATTGATAACCAGGAACGGTCCTGTTGCCACTGAACAGATTGCCACGCCAGGCACTTCCCTTTTACACGTACGTTTCTACAGCCATGACAATATAGTTAGAGTCCACTGTAAATGTTTTTCTAGTCCCTTATCCCCGATAGGATCGTCACATCCTTTAAGCTCCACGTTTCTCCAAGTTTTCTCGTTTTTTTTTTTATCTGCATCATATCTTTTTATACCCGTGAAAGCTCTGGAACGAATTGTAGTCCGCGTACCGGACGCGAATACAAGCTGTGTGAGGGTCGTCGAAAAGTTTTCAGCACGTTTCGAAGAGATGAAATGTTGCATGCGCCACGCACCTCGTAAAAATTGCTCGTACCCCATGCGACAGGAGGGGGAATGCAACCGTCAGCGTTGTACATACTTGTACATATTGAAACCGTTTCGATTGTACCGCCGATTGAACTTGCCAATTGTATTTACTACTTGTATCCGATCAATAAAACGCACCAGAAAAAAACCAGGATCAGACAGGATATCTCGCTGTTCGTGAAACTAAAGACGCGCCCGCTGAAAAATTTACAACCTTGCTTTCAGATATTTCGCCTTTTTTTCCAGGTCGTTTGGATTTAGTGAAAATCGGATGTTGAATTCTAAATATTCCAAAAATAGAGAGAGTCGATCGTTGGATTTTCGTGAAATAACGAGCCGCCTTTGTTATTGCTAGACTGTGGATTTTTATGCAAAATGGTATTTTCTAAAGCAATTTCTTTGCTTTCTTAAGTATCATATTGCGTTCGGAATAAATTAGAGAACTGATTAGATCTGATGAAAGTTTTGTATTTTATTGTATTTTACAGACCCCTATAGGCTATAAATGCATAAAATCCGCAGTCTAGTTATTACAGAAACATCGTCCACGGTTCAGTTCGAAAGCTTGTCAGACTGAAAGGGTGAAAAAGAAAACGAAAGAACCTCGCGACGACGAAAACCTCCACCTGGCTGGTTCCTCCGTGTGGGACAGATACTCATCATTCTGATGGCTTTCGCTTAACGGCTCTATGCCCGTGGTACGCGATGGTTGAACCAACTGACGCGTACTCGATCCATTTGTACGTCCATTATGAATAGACCGCGGATTTCTATGCAAATTCAGATCTTCATAGATCGATTTATTCAACTGAAATTCAGTTAAACATTCATTTATTAAATGTGTAACTAGGTCTGAAACAAAGTAAAATTTATAAAATTTTTTATTGTATTGTGGTTGTGGACACTCATAAGATAAATGGAAAAAATCCGCAGTCCACTTATAAACCACAATCGAAATAAGTAGAAAGACACGAGTTTCCGTTCCCCTCAGCTACCAAATCGAACTTCTTCTACCTCCTCCAGTATTTCAATAATTGCCAAAGACGAAACGTTTCCTTCTTCGATTCCACATGACCAATTCGAGAGAAAGATCTTTCCAGCGTGATCGAGGGCGAACAGCTAGAGCACTGGAAATGCAACCGCAGTTGCACTTGCCGCGGATGAGAACGGAAAAATTTGCGGTTTCGAGGAACGCGAGTAACGTCCATGCAAACATATAGTCCGCAAGGTTGGCGCGAATACAAGCCTTCCCTTGATATCGTGGAAGTACGTCTGCACCCTTTAACACCTAAACTGTCTGAAGTTCAAACGATACCCAGATAGCACATGACGCCTTGAAGACGCCCATTTTACGGCTATTTAAGGTCTAAGGCGCCTTTAAGCCGTCTTCAAGGCGTCACTGGACGTCATGTGCTATCTGGGTAATGTCGTTCGCGAAATGAGGAAAGCATTTTCGTCTGCGGGGGGGCCGACAGGCCTCGGGTTACCTCCTGCCGCCAGCTAGAAGCCAGGAAAGTGGCGCAACGCTAGACTCACCGCGAAGTTTCATCTTTCACCGCAAAACCGACACGGGAGGAAGCAAAGCCTGTTGTCCCTCTTGTCTTTTCCCCGACTCGCCTTTAGAAATCGAAACAGCGCGCGGTGGTTTCATAACGAAAACGTCTCGAGACGCTTCTTCCTCTTCCCTTGACTTGGGTTTCGACCGTAACTCGGCTCGAAATCGACGCGAATCGGGGATGGTCACCAGCTGCTCACATTACACCAATTACGATACGGGTTTTTAAGAATTTCTATGTTGAATTCACCGAGAGTATACTCGTCATCAAACAGAAAAACTTGTACTTGCTATTTGAAGGTTAAAAAGAGAAGGCATACAAAGCAAATGAAATCACTTGATAAGGCAGTGACTTGTTTTTTGACAACAGATGACGCTCTAGTCGCAAGAGTAATTTTGTCATTTTGTTAGAATTTATTTCAATTTCACAGCAAATTCATTTACTCTGCTTCTGTCGGGTATACTCGTCGTAGCTTAAAAATAAATAAGCACACAAGTGCACATTTTTAAAATGAAATAAAACAGAAAGGGTTAATGTCCCAGTGTCGTATCGATTGACGAACGGCCCCATAATTGTCGTTAGATTCAAGATTCTCACCGTATAAACTATGAAAGTAAATGGTACAATTTTGAGGAAAGTTCTACGTAAATCAACTCAATAACCGTTCACAAATTATTTTATTAGTTTGCTTCGTGGTAGTGTTGTACAAGGAACCGAGGATACATATTTGTGTGTCACTACCACCGACGAGGTATAAGAATAGACCTTTTACCCAATGTATTTCTTCGACCCACTTTGCTGGGGCAACATAACCCCATTTCCATTTTAGTGTCACTACCCACCGTAGATTCACCGTTCTTATAACGTAGAGGTCTCTAAAATAACAGGCTTTTTAAGGTGTCAGTACTACAATTTAGGTGGACCAACTCTCATAAGATGAAAGATCAATTCTTATACCTCGTCGGTGGTCACTGCACATGTTTGAATAGATTCGCAAGCGTGTGATGCGATTGAATTTATTTCCATTAAAATCGAGGAAAGATTTCGCGTGTGCATCGCGAAACCTTTGATCGTGCCGCTCGCGAGCGACACGAAAGCAACAAATGGTACACGATATGATGGCACTGGTGCCGCACGATACAACTGTACTATCGTTATTAGGAATTATGAAGGACTTTATTAAAAGCGTTGTACGATGTTTCCAGGTCAAAGATCAGTTGCCTTACTTGCGTGTCGGACAGTTCGTCGGACGCGGACATATTGTTCAGAGTCTGCAGCCATTCCGCGACTTTTTCTTTACCGTCGAAATCGCTCGGTAATATACTCAGCCGATTCATAGTGTCCATTAAATCTCTTAAATCTGGATGCAGCTGATCCATAGCTCTGATCTCCAGTCGTAGTTTGTCCATCAGGGTGATGAACAGAGACACGATGTCAGCGATGCATTTGGACGTATTGCCCTTGTCGTCTTTGATCGTGATAGGTCTGTCCTCTTTGATTCTCTCCAAAGCGGCCGGGCAATCCAAACGGAATGCTCTGGCAAAAGCGTCTATGGTAGGGAACTGATCGCTCTGCACCTGAACCAAAATGTGTGCAGAAGTCAATGTGATCGGGTAACACTAGAATACGTATTTCGTTAAGAATACCTGTTTGAAGGCAGCCCTGTATTGCACCAACAGTTTGCTGCAAGCAGCTGTGTATTCTTTCGGCGTGACACAGTCACGGATGTAAGCCTTCTCCAGATGCTGTAAAGTGTTCACGACAGCATACAAATCCGCCTGGTTGTCGTGTTTTTCCCTTTCTCTGGCATTCTTGTACAGTTTCACCTCCTCGTAGAGTTCTGGTCGATCTTGGGTTACCGACATTATTATCCGCCACAATCACGTTCTACGATCGGTAGAACATGTTAAACGTCAAACTTTAAGGTTAGGTACGCGAACAGCGATCATGGTACGCGCGCGATAAGTTTCGATAAAATGGATGAGTATACTGTAGCTATTGAGGAATGACAACTATAGTGCGTTTTGCGTATGTAATTATACAAAAGTAATGACAGATAAACTATCGAATAATTCAATAATGGAACAACGGGAACGACGTGTAAGACGATCATGATTCATCGCATACCTTTGTATTTTATACAGTTCCCTTGGAATTTCTGAAGTGTAGGGTGACTGTAGAAATCGCATAAATATAACAAAATAGCACCCGTTCTAATTAACGAAACTGTTTGGAATGCACAATACAGGACGTTCAATGGCACATAATAATATGATACTATTTGGTCAATGACTTGAGCACTTTGCCGTAGATGTCTCCACACGATCTATTTTAAAATCTGTTCCCTTACTACATAGTACATCTCACTCACATATAGTCTTTACGTATGCTCCGGGGGTTCTATGACCCCAGAGTTCATAAACACGGGGCCTCTTCTGCATGCTCCGGGGGCTCTATGACCCCCGCAGTCTTCACACGAGAGGTCGCTTCACATTCTCCGGGAGCTCTGTGACCCCACAGTCTAAAAACACGGGGACTCTTCTGTATGCTCCAGGGGCTCTATGACCCTGCAGACTACAAACGTGGGGTCGGTTCCGCATGCTCCGGGGGTTCTGTGACCCCGCAGTGTTCACACATGGCGTCACTTCTGTATGCTCTGGGGGTTCTATGACCCCACTTTCTCACACAGACGGAGACCGGCTAACTTGACAGAGGTATGCGGCTGGGCGTTCTTGTACGGACACATCGATTACAGCATTGTGTGGTTAGCGGAAGATTCATGAAACTTTCAATCTTCCTTAAGGGATCACCCCCATCACGGGAGTTTCCGGACCTGTATGTACAACTTTTGTTCGATATCTACTTGGTATCGCAACCGCAGGTATCAATCCCAAAAGTACTCGGTATCGAAACAAAAGTATCGAGTAATGTACTCGTATTTACTTGTATCGATTCATCCCTAAGCACAAGTAAGAAACTCCTCTTAGCAAATTTGTATATTAATAAAAAATTCCAACAATCGACAATCGTTACCGCACAGTATCGATTGAAGAAAATCGACACACTAGAGAGGGTAATTTTTATTATTACTCACCCACGTTATTTTAACAAGTTTATTAGAACATTGTAGCGAGAACAGACAACATTGTTACAAAATAATACGTATGTACGTACATTTATATATAGATATGTATACGAAAACACTTACTCTCCTACGATAATAGACAGCAGAATATTACCATTTTTCCTATTAGATTATACACAATTAATGACTCGTAACCAGTACTACGTATCATCGCTAAATATTCTTTCTATAACGTTAGGTTTGTTCATACGATCCCTACAAGACGGGATCATTCTGTTCTCGTTGATACAGGAACAATCAAACTCTCGGACAACTGGTCGTCCAACGTATTTTGCGCACATTTTCTCCTGTTCGACGATTATTCTATCACTGTCGGGTACCACGTTAATGTACGTGACGTTTAACGTTAGTTCCTTATCGTCCAAGATATCCCAGGGTGGGAAGATTTGTACTACGCTCGCGGATCTGGATTCGATTTTGCCAACGATTTCAGGAATCGCCATGATTTTAATGAATCTCGGAGAATCGTTCGTTTCTCGACGGGGCAGCAGATCGAAGGGATCTTCGATCGCGATACCATCCAGAAACTGTCGGCTGAAACGGGTCACGCACACACGCGCGTAAACGGTGACACACGGCAGACGGGCATTGTCCTTTATTGCTTGTTTGATCTGATGCCTCCATATACGTACAAACGACACTTGCCTGTTGATCGTTGACTGCAGCTTCTCCGTCAAACTTCCCCTGCAATAGAAACAAAAATATAAGTTCACTGTATCAAGAATACAGAAGTACACGTGATCGTGAACAGTAGCAAACAAATGTCTTTACTTTTTCGGTTTTCTCCTCTTCTTGCCAGAGTCTAAAAGACTGAACTGCATTGGTGGATTGCTATAGGTTCGATGTGGCGATGTTTCCGTGCTAATAATAATTCCAGTAAGGGTTGATTTATTGTCCTCCGGTTCATTGACTTGTGAGGAAATTTGTGATATCTTTTGGGACGGACCCACCTCGGGATGCGAGGATCGTTCCTGTTCCACTTTTGAGAAAAAGGTCTTATCGGAATCCTTATTGGATGTGTACGAGCAGACAGAAGTAGATGACGGAGGTAACTGAGACAAAGAACATATCACGCCATGATTTTGGACGGCAACGACTGGAACCAAATCCTGCGTGTCCACGTCCTCTATCCGAATGCTCAGATCCTTCTCATCTGTGTCAGTGTGCACACTTAGGGAATCTTTATGAGAATTGTAGTCCTCATTAACAGACTCTATTTCCATTTTCACTAGGTCTTTCGTATCTCTTGGACTGTCCTCGATGTTCAACTGCATCACCGTGATTGGCAGCTCGGACTCGGTCGAGTCTTCGGAGATTTTCGAATCTCTGTTTGCGGACAATTCGAAATCGTCCTTCCGCAAACTGTCCTCTAACTTTCTGACCAATCTACGTCGCTTTTGAGTACAGAGAATGTTACATTTACTCGGTAACTGCGATACATTGCCTAGATTGTACATCATAGAATTCATATTTGCGTCCAAGTAAGCGTCGCCTTCCTTTACTCCCGTAACGGTTTTTTGCGTATTCTTCCGCTTTCGTAATCGCCGTTTCCTCCCTCGACAATAGGAGTTTCTATCGAGAATGGGCGACACGTTCGTCGCGTCGCACAGCTTCGATTGCAAGGACGAGAAGTCCTCCTCCCTGTCGGTACGCTTGTTCTCAATCCGATCCAGAATCTTCCTTACCGAGCCTTCGTCCGTGCACGATTTTCTTCCTCTTTTGTCAAAATAGGGCTTTTCATGGAGTACAGGCGACACGACAACTTCAGTCGAGTCGAAAGTATCAGTCACTGGTTCTGGGCGAAACAAATTTCTTCTCACGTTTTCTTTCCTCTCATCTACATAGCCTGCCGTGTATTTCCAATTTTTGTCGGACAAATGACGCGCATCTTTACCGATTCGACTCGACGACTCATTTGTACGTCCCCTTTGTCTGTTCTCTATTCCGTCATCGTTGAAACGATCTTTCATCCTGGCTCGTTTCCGATTGTTACCAACAATCGGCGATCCCATCACGCGTTTCGTCGAGGCCAGACCCAGAACAGGAGACACGGTCGACGTGGATGCCGATTCGTCCGACTCGGGCACACGATCTCTGTGAGCCTCGATCCATTTTCGTACAAACTCACCCTTTTCTGTGCACGGTATCGTGGCCACGTTACCATCTAACAACAGCGCGCCGTCTTTTTGTCCGTGGAACTGCCTCACCACGTTTAAGGTTAGAATCGACTGGCCGAAATTCAATCGTCTCACGTGACTCGGTTTCCTCGGCTCTTGGCTCCCGCTTCCGTTCGGTTCACGTGTTCCTGCCTGGTTCATATTCGATGTTCAACAGTCGGACCGGACCGTTGGAGAACTCTAAAATATCGACAGCTTTTATTATGACATTTTTATGTATAGCGAATACGAAACATGCAACACACGCGTACACCTACCGCCGCCATGTTTCCGTTGCCATTGGTTGCCATGGAGACACGAGAGGAACCGAAGCGTGACTAGCGTCGCGTGGTGGGACGAGATAGAACTTCGTACGATTCAAACGTTTCCCGCGCGTGTTCCTTCGATTACACCGAGCGTCAAGTGGGATAAGTTTTCAAAGTGATCGTTGCGATCCGGTGGTGTAATACTGTTCAGATTGAACTTTCAGATCAAAAGTTGATCGATATATCTTCCTCTCATATTAGGTACTCGAATACAACCGAGTTTTAGGAAGTTTCGTAAGTCACAGCAACGGGTGAGTCATCATTGGTGACTATCTCCAGCGACGAATTCAGATTGACTGTGACGCGTCAGGTGAAACGTTCAATGGGGACAGCTTCGAACGAATTTGCAACACGAAAATTTTACATCGATGACGTGTACCGGCCTGTGTTTTCTATAGGTATATGTAATTCGATGAAAATTCTCGAAAGAGATCGCGATCGGAGGAAGTGAAGAAACTCGACGTCCGGAAATGGTTCTCGAAACGGACATGTTTGGTATGACAACGTTGAAATCCGAATAAGCCCAGAGTGGGAAAGAGAGAGAGGGGGAACACAGAGGTCCGGTTCGTGCACGCCGTAACAATTACCGGGCGGCGAGTGTCGAGGAACCCCCTTTTATATTAATAGTCGAGATAGTAGTCGAATGTGCAGCGCGATAGTAGAGTAGCAAACGTTCTGGCGAGGGGTTTGGGGGGTGGAGGGGGCGGTCCAAGAGGGTCGAGCCTCGTAGGATTGAAGAGTGAAGGGGGCCACACGAGGTTTTACGCGAGGAAGAGAATCCGATCACGGTTGAGTAGGATCCGAGTGAGAGAGAGATGGCGCGCAAAACGGAGAGGACGATACGAGAAGTAATAGTCCGAGGGAGACAGAGATGGAGGGACAGCAGCGTGAACAGATAGAGAGAGAGAGAGAGAGAGAGAGGGGGAGAGTGATGGTTCAAGGGGGACGTTCAGAAACGATAGATAGGAGGATGGGATACCCGTGGACCCCTGTGTGTATCCACGGTTGCTTCAGTTTCAGTTCGCGATGGAGACTATTTGCTCCTTTCGGTGGTAGCTGCACCCGGTTTCGGTGTCCATTCTTCGAGAAGGGTGAGCGAGGGAGTGAGACAGAGAGAGAGAGAGAGAGAGAGAGAGAGAGAGAGAGAGAGAGAGAGAGAGAGAGAGAGAAAGATAGAAAAAGAGGAAGAAGAGGGAGAACCGAAACGAGTGTGCGAGCGAGAACGTGCCCGAGGAAGAAGGGGGTTCACCGGGAGTGCTACGCTCGCGGAAAATGTATCGTGGATGTGACCGATAGAGAAATCGAACAAGCTGTGACGCTAGTATATGTATCGATAAGAAGAAGAAAGAACAGACGGAGCAGTGGGTACAGAGAGGGAAGAGATTATTGGGAAACACGAGGGGGATGACGGATGAATCTCTCGAAAGAAGGAAAGCCGATTCCCGGGGTCGAGAAACCTAACTGAATCGGTGGATGATGCGTGGACACGTACGTGTTTCGTCCGGTATCGAACCGTCTCGTGTCGATCCGTAGGTTATCCCAGTGACTATTCCGCGTCGGATACAAGAAGAGGCTTTCCGTCTCGGAGAAAACGGATCGAATCCGGATCGATAAAATAGAGACCGCCGATGAGAGAATGAGGGGTCGTTTGGTGTAAGAGGTGGGACAGATTACGGGATCGGTGGTGGCGATTCGACGAAGAGGATCGGTGACTTTTATCTAAAAAAATATTTCTGAACAGTTGTGCCCGCGAATATTCGATGTAGGCGCGTAACGTAGTGTGATATATCTGAATAAATAACTAAGTAAATAAATAAACGAATGAATAAATAAATATTGTCACGCGGATATCGACGGAGGAACGACGATTCTCGTCCAGTGATCGTCCTGGACTGTGTTTATCTGGAATCGCTTTCAGGAGGTTTCTGCATCGGTTGGTAAGATTTTTCGAAAGATAACGTGTAGAGAACAGAAGAGAGAAAGATATAGAAATGGAAGGTGTACGCGCACGCGCGAGGAAAAGGGGGGAAAGAGGAAGAAAAAAAGATTCCGGAAGTTGTTTGCGTTTGCGGGACGACGCGACGAAACACGTTCCGGCGATCGTTTATAAAGGGGGAGGCAACTCAGCGACGATTGAGATTGGGTTAAAGAGATTTTTCGTAACAATTCACCTTTAGACGGGCAAGAATTTTTTTGTTAAAAAAAGGGGTCTGTTTTGGCCAAAAATTTGTGTATAAATCAGGTCATCCCGTAAGTAATGCGAATTTTCTTTCATATTTGAGGGGTCAAGTGAGAAAGTGGTACTTGCCACATCTACATCGGTTTTTAGGTTTTTGTACCATTAACAACTCTGACCTTATTTTTCCTGAATGTAATTGTCGTGAAGTCAGTAGTATCCCCGTAGGGATACCCCAGACAATCTAAAGATTAACTCTAGAACTACCGAACCCGTCAAAATGACGGATTGTCGATTTATTGTCGATATCTTAATAGTTTTTTTGACGGAATTTACATCGGCTTTTAATTGACTAAACATTTTAATAACAATATAAATATAGATATTAGATCATTTAAGTTAGTACACATTTAACACTCGTAGTTCTAGTGTTAACGAAAATCGGGTTGTCTTCGGGTTGGAGGAAAGCATGACTGGTTCTAGAACGACGAGAACGTTAGCAGCCGCAGTAGCGCAGACGATCGTGGGATCGACAGAAACGGAGGTCTCGTCGGAACGGAAAAAATCTGTGCGGAGTGTTGGCGTGTGAAGCTGTTCGTAAATCACGTTGTTTAACTAACCGGTAGCTGAAACACGAAAGTCGTAAAACCAGATCGTCGCATTATCGTCGTGTTCCTTTTGACATTATCACGCGTTTCGTTTAAGTCAAAACAGATTGTTTACAGATACTTACATTGTCGACTGTGACTGGCCAAAATTCGCCAGAAACGGTGACAAGCACAAAATTTTCCAAAGTGTACCGACTGGATTAGACAAAAGAGCATCATGTTGCATTAAAACCTGGATTAGTACCCGAAAATTGTGACTCGAGCCGGGTATGTACGAAGTAGAGGAATCGACCCTAAATACAGAATCAACGCGGAACGTAGCGACGACATAGTTTACATGCCTGTCGAAGAGATAACACTGATGCAAAAATGAACATTTTTTATTTTTTATGTTTTTCGAATAAAATTTTTATTGGCGTATGTGTGAGTTTTTTCTGATTAAAATGACACCAAACACGGTATAATTTGGATCATATTTACTTATTGATCATTTACGACAATTAAACAATAACAATGAGTAAATATAATTTAAATTATATCGTGTTTAGTCTTGTTTTAATCAGAAAAGTCTCACGAATACGTTAGTAAAGGTTTCATTGGAAAAATAATAGAAACTAAGAAATTTGCATTGTTGCATTGGTGTTGCACTGACACAGGGGCAGATAATCTGTTTTTGGGCTTCCACTTGAGAAGCCGCCGGCGTGTTACATTGTATGCTTCACTGGTTTCGGAGTGAACCCTTCAGTGGTGGGGATGAACTCCGAGTGCTTACGTCGTAGATCGTTTGCGGGTACAAATCCAGATTTTACTGTATAACCAGTACTGTAATTGCCTAGAAATCGACCAATCACGGACCACCGTGCAAAAACCGTTAGTCGACGGATCGCAGGTAGCTTCTATTGGCGGGAAATCGAAGAGGTGTAAATTATGAGTAGACTTAAGTACAAACTTAAAAACTTCAGTATAAACTTTAGTCCATTTTGGATTCAATGGAATCTTTAATAAAGGAAAGAAATCTTTCAGGTAATTTCAGTTCTGTAAATAGCAATTTCGAAAAATCTGCACGCCTGAAGTAGCTACTAGAATTGAAGGGCCATGTCCGTTCTGATTCGACTGTATCCGTTTCGAATTAGAAGGAAGCTGGACCGAGAGAACGAACGCACGACACGGGACAGTATGCGAACCGGGACGATACGTTGTTTGCACTCGTGACGTCACACTCGTGGAATCGTAACGTGCAACGGAGGTTTTAGATTGCACACGCGTGTGGTATCGTGTCATGTGGTCGATAAATCTAGGATTCTGGGGGGTATTTTTACTTCTATGGTTATTCGTTGCTCGACAGGTACCATACACTGCCAGCCAAAAGTATGGGACCAGACTTCATGATGAACAGTAAACTAAAACTTTCTTTAGATATTATACGGGAATAAACTCAGTATGCATACACAACAATTAAGTGAAAATAAAAATAGACAGAGTTACAGCACCATAGTATGCAGTAAGGAATTAATAAAAAAAAAAAAAATTTTAATTTTATATTAACTTAAAATGTATTGTGATCAACTTGAAAACGAACCAAATATCTTCATATCTGAAATCCTGTTGAGAAATAATGTTTCTGCATAAATGGTTATATTCCCATATAAAAACAAATGGTTCGTTTTTATTTAAATCACAATATACACAAGGCTTGAAAATTTGAAGGTCGTTTTATACAAATCATTTCAAATTAGTTCCATACATAACTTTCATTGTATCGTATCTTTGTAGAAAAATATTTTTCTTTTTTTTATTATCGAACCTGATCCGATACTTTTGGCCGTACAGTGTATGGTCCTTATTCCCTTCTGAATTTCCTCGGCGTCGATGTTTGTCCTTCAGTTCATCGGCGACATTTTCGTATCGTTCGGACACGCGAACGAGGAGAAATCGTAGACGGTCGGATTATTATTGGTAATGTCGTGACGATTTCAATTTGCGCGGCTTTCCAGAAGATTCGAAAGAGACCGACCACGACGATTCGTCGTCTGTAGCCCCGGCAAAGCTCTATCAACGTTCAGAGGATGGATATAATCGTGCGTGGTATCGAAGACCTAGATCAACGACGACCAATCTTCATTTCCCTCCATTTTCAAGCGATTATTCCTGCTAGACCCGTACACTTTCCACGATCTATCCGTGTAACCTTTGAACTGTGCGATAATTCGTATCGATGATTTTCAGATCGAAACGCCTCTCTCTTCTTCATTCCCTCTCTTGTGCCACGCTCTTTATGCTTGGCTTACCGCGTCGCACGCGAGTAACGAAGATAAATTGTTGAACGGCAAGCATAACAATCGTCTGGGAAATAAAAGCTGTTGCAATTAGAGGAATGAATCTTCCTAGGCCACAGAAGGATACACCGATACGACCTTTGCGACGATATTTTGAATATCGATACCTGTCACTTCGAATATTGATATTTTGTATATCGATATTTAATTAGATGGTATATTCCAGTATCGATACTTGACCCATAAATATCGGAATTTTGATACAATCGGTGCATTTGCCGTAACGTAACAGGTGCTCTCGTAAAGTTTGCGATTGGTCGATTTCTTTTCCACACTGTTATACATCTTACACTACATATATATAACGATACGTATCGACACCAAATATCGAAACAATTCAAATGTACCTAACCCTACATATGTATCGATACGTATCGACACCAAATATCGATACAATTCAAATGTATCGCTACTTTGCACGTGTTATTTCCACAGGCGGCCACCGATTAGTTACGGCCCAGCAGGTGTGAACGGTGAACACGTTGGGGCTACGGTGACACGCACGGTCCAATCTCGACGTAACGTCGACTGTGACGGTGGTGACGGAGACGCAGAGAGGCGCCGTCGAAGACGATGCTCGAGAGGATCGGAAGAGAGCGGCGTATAAGAAGGCGCGAAGACGTTCGTTCGCCGCGCTTCACGCGATCCCACCGAATTCGACGGTTCACCATCCGTACGCGTCGCGTTCTCAACACGTATCGGTCCGTTCGTATTGGTTCCGCACGAGGGTAGTAACATCGCGTATCAGGAATCGCGAACCGATCATTCTGCAACGGACTTGACAACGTTTCGGAGCTGTAGAAACCATCTAAAAACAAACAAAAAAATAAAAAACTTTGGTCCAGAAGATACTTGGTAAGAGATATACGTATTTTTTCCTCGAAGAGGCTGCAACAACGTAGTAGATACATTATGTGTACCACGTCGCACGCTCTTTTGTCGAACTCTTAGTGTTCCGCGTAACGCCGTAGCTGCTCGACGTCGTGTGCTCGTGGTGTCCCCCTCGGTTCGAATCCGCAACGCGGTCGCGACGCGTGCTTTCCAAGCGGATGTTTAGTTCGAAGAACGTAGCTCGGCGACGAGCCCGCGTTTGCACCTACGCGATACGGGAGACGAGATCCACGGGGACCAGGACGTTATAGGTTCGAAATTGTTTACGTTTCACGCGGTACCTGAGGAGTCCACGTGATCATTTACGAAGAAAAAGAAGAAGAGGAACCAGATCCAGGAGGATCAAAATTATAGGTTCGAAATAGTTTCTGTTTCACACGGTTGGTACCTGAAGAGTTCACGTGATTGTTGAAGAAGAAGCAGAAGAAGAATAGGAACCAGATCCAGGGGACGAAGACTATATAGGTTAGAAATAGTTTCAGTCTTACACGGTTGGTACCTAAGGAGTCCACGTGGTCGCTGAAGAAGAAGAAGACGAATAAGAGGAACCCTGGTAAACTACGGCTGGAAAAGGGAATCCAGGAGGAAGAGGAAGTGGGGTGGTTCTTCGGGGGTTGGAAAATCGAGGGTTGTTCATGCCCTCGTGGAGAGTCTCGCGGCGGTCATGCCGCGTGATCGTGGGGCGCAAGTGAATCGGTCAAACGTCGTCGTCGGTAGCGTGGATCGTCGTCGTCGGCGCGACCGTGGTGTCGTTCACACGCGAACGTTCGTCAACGGGTAAAACATGAGCTCGATCGACTTCGACGAGGTACTTGTGCACGTGGGCGAGAAGGGCAAATACCAGAACATCATGTACTACCTTCTTTGCATACCCGCGACATTGCCGGCCGCTTTCCTGGCGTTCTCGCAAGTGAGTCCCAACGACAGACAGACAGACCTTAACCCTTTAACGGTGTTTGACGAGTATACCATTATAATTTAATTCAATTTTACAGTAGGTGCACTCATTCAGTGTTCGTTCAACGAGTATACTCGCCACTGCATAATTTCATCACGAGCAGATACACGTTTCCAAAATGAAAGTTCCACCGTTAAAGGGTTAACCACGATTCGATCAAGCTATAAAAAGCATGTAATAAATATACATACATTTTTTGTTTATTAATCCATTTGCATCATTCGAAAAAAAAAAGGAAAATTGGCCCATATCACACAAATTTTTTTTATTGTATAAAAACAGAAATGTTGCAAAATGCATAAAAAAGGAAAACAACTGGCGTACAGAAAGAATTCATGATCTATAACAAGACCATACACATGGGAATTTTTCCCACAGGTGTTCGTGAGCGCGTCCCCGGAGCATTGGTGCAGGGTCCCTGAGCTGGAGAACATGACGCATCTGCTGACGCTCGAGGAAAGGAAAGCTCTGTCGCTGCCGTACGTCGAGAAGCCTGACGGAAAGCTTAAGTACTCGAGATGCACGATGTACGACGTGAATTACACGTCGATCGTCGAATCCTGGCTGGGACGAGGTATCCACGAAAACACCACGGACGAGGCCACCGATTATTGGTCGAGGTCTCGGTTACCACCGCCACCGGTCGGCAACCCCGATTGGCCGGTGAGCAAATGCCGGAACGGCTGGATCTACGACAACCGGGACTACGACAGCACCCTCGTCACCGAGGTAAACGCGTCTCTTTCTCTATATTTCGATCGACTCGATACACACTGCCTGGCACAATTGTCAAAACTACCCAACAATTTTCAATTCTTAAGCTGCATCTACACCATGAGTGCGACGTACTCGGATCCGCTTCGAAGTATTCGTGGCAAGACGAAAAGGTTTTCAGCCCCTCGTAAATTTGTTTCTTGCCCGAAGCCGAGCCTCTGCTTAGCTTCTGTTTACTCTGTTTTGATTGGTTTCACAGGGAAACTCCCCCAGGTGGGTGAGAATAACGCCGTTTTGGTCGCATATTTGTTGCCCTTCTTGAAGCCGAGTTATCGGATTCGGTATCGCGTCGCGAGGGAAAAAGCGGTCGCGACAAAGTGGGTTGACGTCGTCACGTATTCCGTTTTGCATAATCCTCCTACGCGTTGCCACGTCTATGTCGACGAATTTCGCGCCCGAGAAAGGGAGAACAACAAGTCCAGAAAGAGAGAGACAGAGACGTTAGCGAGTACGGAGCGGGTCGAGTTTCACCGGAGGGCAATTCGCCTTGGCCTTTGCAGATTCCTCCCCGCTGGAATCGCCACGTGAAACCCACATCTCTCTCTCTATCTAGCTCGTGTCATCCCGGTGACTGACAGTCAGTGTGACCACCCAGAAAAAATAGTTTCGTGCCAATTTATACAGGATGAAGATATTAAATTTGAAAATAGTACTAAATTTATCAATCGATTGCGTTTCACTCTATAACAGGCAATTTTAAATGAAAGGGCAATTCAACATTTTTATTTAAAGGTCGATATTACTATCTTATCCTGGCCCGGGCCCCGTTCTGAGCTTCCATTTATGTCAAGAATTAATTGAATGAAATTTCTTTTTATGTTTCCCGTTTGAAACAATCCGAAATCGCACTAAATGTAGAAATGAATCAGGCCAAAGTTATTAAAATATAACGAAGCATTGTTAAAATAAATATTACCAATTGCGTACCCCCTCCTCCGATTTTCAAACAAGGTGACCCTCAAAGGTTCGATAGTCCTAGGCCCCAAAAATCTTAAGCTGCGTCCCCATTAGGCCAAATCGACCCATTAGCACGTGTCGATGACATATTCCCATATGTTCGGTTTTGCCGATCGGCATAATGGGGAGTCACCTTTAATATAACTCTCATATTGTTCTTATTATTCTTATTATTATCATCTGATACTAGATATCAATTGATAAACCTACTAAAAGACTAAAAATGGAAAAAAAAAAAAAAAAAAACTATTGCGCCCAGTATGAAAGTTCTAGTGGTGGGTCACACTGGACTGACTGCGTGGTGTGTGTCGTCGTCCCGTTCGTGGAATCGGGGGATTGTGCGCCCGTACCCGGTACCCGACCGCGCGCGTTAAGCTTCTCTTTCCGCTCGATAATATTCTTTTCCGTGAAAGCTCGCAGTCGGCGTTGATATAGAGACAGCTACTCGCGTGGCGGATGTAACAAGCGGAATCTGATCGTCGAATAGGGGTCCCGGTTTCGACGAAGTATATAAATCGCCTGGGGGTACGGGATTCGGTACAGACCACGCGGCGAACAGTGAATCTAACTAGGATTCCGCAGAGATACGCCGCAGCGAGGAGGAAAACAGAACGGAGCGGGTCGGCCGCGGTGCGTCACGTGGCACCAGACCTCGGTTCGCTCGTGTCTATTAAACGCGTTATTAAATTGCCGCAATTAGACAACGCGGGTAAAGCTGTTGTCGCAACGACGAGGAGGAGGAGGAGGAGGATCGTAACTCCCGGGGTCGAGGATCTAGGTGCCACTGCACACACTTGATTCTCGTGATACTGAACGGGACAATTCCACGTCGATCTCGCGTTCGACGGAAATAGTAACACCGAGCAGGAGTCAAACGAGTTTTTCCCGCGTCAAGAATAAGTTTCCCGAAGGTCTCCAGAGCTGGTGTCCGTTATGCGTTCGCGTGGTACATTAATGTCTCGATGAGTGCGACATACTCCGGTACACTTTGGAGGATTCGTGGCAAGGTGTAAGGGTTTTCAACCCCTCATAAATTTGTTTTTTTTTTGCCCGAAACTCGTGTCGTATTCATCGAGGGATAGTCAGTACAGTGATTCCTCGATGAATGCGACACTTCTGGTCTCCCGTTCGCTTATACAGAGCTTGGAATTCTGAAACCAAAGATATTTCTTTCAGTACCAACGAAGATTTCGAACACTCATCGAGGATTTACTGTACGAAAAACTTCAAGGCGTGACCCGAACCTCTTTTTACAAAGTCACTGTAGCTCGGGGACGCACTATAGTTTATAGTAGCGGGTGGGTTCACCTGTGTCGTCATGATAGGCCACGCCGGTGTAGCGACCGGCCCGATAGAGTTTGCGGCTACTCTGGTGGCGTCAGCAATTGCCGACCAATTTACCTACCCCCGCATCCGGTCATGCGATCTGTCGCATCAAACGCGCCTCGTACAAACTACCGGGACTCTACTACTCTCTGCTCTTACGAAGGGTATGTGTCCGTTCGCGCGCGCGCGCCAGTATATACTTCGCTCTCTCCGTGTCCGCGTTTCGACGTGACGCAAACAACGCTCGCGCTCGAGACCGATACCCCCCCTCTACGTCATCCCAAGCGCCCAATAATTCTCATTGGTTCACTTCTATGGTGGCACTCGACCGCGAAATTCTCGGGCGAGTAGGTACCGCGCTCTAGAACTGCTACGCCTCCGTATCGGGGGAATCGTACATCCTATCTAATAGGTCGACGCGAAAATCGTGCTCGAGTTTCTGACGCAGTGGCGGATTCAGAAGGGGACGAGTGGAGCGATCGGCCCCCTCCAAAACATTATATCGCTTATATACTTGTAAAAGATGGTTCAATAATGTACCTAGATACTTTAACACTTCTTGCCCCCTCCTCCCCTAGGCCAAGAAAGGTCTCTGCAATCCAGAGTCTGCATCCGTCACTGTTCTGACGTTGTTCCTCCCGTCCCTTTCTCTTTTCTTCCTTCTCTCCTGCTCCGTTCTGGTGTTCCCCTCTGACCGTTTCTATCTTCTCTCTCTCTCTCTCTCTCTCTCTGTTTCTCTCCGTCCCCCTTTCGTCGCGTTCCCGTTCTCCCTCCAGTCGTCGTCGTCGTCGGTGCCCCCGGTGACGAACGGTTCCATGAGCGCGAGAAGGGTGTAATCGCCGCGCGTATTTACACGCTCCGGATTTACGCAGAGACGGCGTGACGCACGGAGCCCGTTCGTGACAAATCCTGTTCTTCCGCTTTACGTTTTCCATCGTACCCGCGGGTGGCATTCTGCTCGCGTGAAACACACATTATCGTCTTGTTTCACTATGGTTTTGTTAGTATAGACAACGTCTAAGAATCGTGATGGGTAGGGTTGAAAGGGGAATACAGAGATAAAGAGAACGAGGGGAAGATTCGTTGGGATAGGAAATGGGGCGGATGCGTGTGGTATGGTACGAGACGATGACCCGTCTCGCGTAATCCTCGAGACATTCACCGGTCCGTTCATGGTCATCTCGAATCGCTCCGTCGGATCTAGACGTGCGGCACGCGTACGAAACCAAGGGCACGGCAAAGGACCGAAATCACCCACTAATTCGTGACTTTTAAGGTGCGTCTTCACGTGACAGTAAAATAAATTCTTGTCGTGACACTGTATGGCAATGCCAACCAATGTCATAACAAGGGACAAAGTGACGTAGCAAGAAGTAGTTTAGGGGTTATACATGTAATGTATAATACCCTTTCGTTCGTGGTAGTATTAGCATGGTCTGTACACAAGTTGTTTACTGTACATACATGGGCGTAGCCATTGTATCAATCGGGAAGTTTGGGGAGGGGGGGGGACCATGTGTACATATATAGTTCTATGTGACGTCACCTTGTCCCTACGAGAGGAGAATTCTCCTGGCAACGCTGCCGGGTCTCTCTGTGGCGGGCATTCGCGCGGAAGTCGCTTGCGTCCAGTTCTGGCAAACCGGATTTCCGGCTCGAGGCGCGGTCACTTTCGTCTACAACGAGAGAAAGACAGACGGAACGCAAAATTACGACGACGAAACACGGCGACTTTTGTGGATCTAACGCTGTGGACAGCGGCGTACACACAGAGAAGCGGCGTCGCCACTCCGCGGTCATATCAATATATCATTTTCGAAGTGTGTCAGGGTGATAAAATATGCACGCGCGAGTCGTTAAGCGGTCCTACGGGCGTCGGTTGCTATACACTGCCCTTGGCAATAACAACCCGTGGCGGCACATACCATCGGGCCGCTCGGACCGAGTGCCTCCTCCGTCCCCGTATTTCCATGCAATTTACCTTTTGCGTTTCACCCGGAGACATCAAAAAGTCCGTGAGTGGCAATTTGCTTAAATCAAACTTCGTGTTAAACCCATTAACCGGCCGCCCACTGTCGCGCCCCGATTATATTTGCCGAGGCTGATCGGCGCTCGATGAGCTTTCAGGTTTCCTCTGACGCTTGTTTACCGACATCGAAACGGCATTCGTGTATTTCTCGCGTGCTTGCTCTTCTCTCCATCGACCACCCCCTCCCCCCTTTAAACGAGAAGACTGCCTTTGCTACCGTGTGACGCCGCCACTTAGATTCTATAACAATCGGTAGGTAAACGGACCGGTAGCGTTGCTTCTGTTTGCTCGACCACAGACGAGGTATAGGAGTACACTTTGCATCTTATGAGAATTGGTGGCCCACTTAAACTATAGTACCGACACTTTAAAAAGCCTGTGATTCTGGCGACCTCTATGTTATGAGAACGGTGAATTTGCGATGGGTAGTGACACTAAAATGGAAATGGAGCGACGTCACCCTAGAAAAGTGGTCCGGAAAAATACATTGGTTGAAATGTCTATGTACCTTATACCTCGTCCGTGGCTCGACAGAACAGCTGGCTCATCGTGCAAACAAACGAGTGAACCACTCGACGCTCGATCGTACGTGTGAAATCACCGCGGATTCTCTCGTGTTCCAGTGTCGTTAAGTATACGTGAGCGCAATTTATTCGTCGCGGAGAATCGAACGAACGCGCGGCGAGCACGTAGCGCGCTCCATCGTACACGCGTCACTCAATTTATTGAGATTCCGCCGGCGGCACGGCGCGCGGCGACGATAACACGGACGACGACGCAAGATCGAATTCGCGTCAGGCTCACAGTTCGAACTTCTTTCTTGTAAATTAATACGTTAGCTAATATTCTTTCATAGACGAGATTCCGGCGATGCTCTTCGATGCGACAATCTGTTAATGCAGGATTTCCTATAAGCGTCAGATGCCTGCGTCAGCGTTCAAACGAAGTCTGCGATCTACAATACCGATTTCTCGTTTCATTCCATTGTTTCCGACGTACAACGTCCGCTTTGGTGTCAATTCAAACCGAAACCCACGTGTCTGACACACATACCAAATTTCAATTTTTTAAATCGATCGCGATCATTAGAGGGCACAGGGGTACGAGAGAAACGGTGTCTTTCTTTTCGTAAAGGGAGAGAAGAGCATGCTAGACGAGGAGGGGTGGAGGGGGGACGTTCTTCCTCTTGTCAACCGAGGGTGATGGACACCTCTGGCTGTGGGAACCCAACGGATCGCTACCTCGTTGCCTCGAACCGACACGCCGCGCACGCGCGTCTACGCCAAACGAGGCGGACCCATCGAAAAGGCAGCCTATTCTATCGCAAGAGATCATATATATCCTCTTCTGTCTTGAAGCTCGACGAACGTCAACGCGTCACAGATTCTCCGAAATTATTTGCTCACGGATTCGTGGGAAAAAACAAAGATCAAAGAAATTTCACTTAATTCCGCCTGTCGCGTTGTAAATATTATTCCAAGGCGTAACCTGATTCTTGCAGCGCGCGAAACCTTCGGGACCGATTGGACTTAAACGCATCGCGGTCGCGCGGACCAATACGTGCGCGCGCGCGCGCGCGTTTACCATGTATACGCGCAAGGGAAGAAGATAAGCGGACGTAACCGGAGCAATGACTTCTCCATAATGGAACGCTATCGGCTACGGGGCGCTGCCTGTGGTTGTTGCATCGTTTCACGTCAGATATATCACATGTGTACTCGCAATCTCGACTCGATTTTACACTGGAATCTTCCGGCGGGTCGTGACACCTCGACCTTGTTTCCACTAACGCGAGAACGAGCAGATTCCCTCGGAAGTCGGTACCACCATCGAGACACAGAGGGAGATGCAGGCCTGAATGGAGATTTTCGGGGGTTATCAAACCTTCTAAGGCCCCATTGATTAAAAAACAGTAGGGACGGGGGATAAATTTATGTAATAAAAGATACAATAAAATATATAAATATAAAAAATTAAATAACATTTAATCCTAACGAAATGGAAGGTTTAGAAGGGTGCCCCCTTAGAAAGTCGGGTCCAAGGCTACAGTCTCCTGAGCTTCCCCTCCCTTGGTCAGTTGTTGGAGAAATGTATCGTAGAGATACGAAAAAACCGCGAAACGAAATTACCTACACACACACACACACACACACACACACACATAAACAAACACATGTCGCGAGAATACGTAGCGTTTTAATGGCATTCTGCATCCACGTAGCTAGACTTGGTATGCGACAACAGCTGGTGGCCTTCCACCTCTACGACTTTCTTCTACGTCGGTAGTCTGTTCGGGAACGTGGTGTTCGGCTGGATCGCCGACAAATGGGGAAGAAGAACGGCCTTCTTCGCGATACTGTTTCTCGAGGTGATATTCTCCATCGCCACCAGCTTCAGCCCCAACTATGTCATTTACACGGCGTTGAGGACGGTCAATGGGCTGTTTTTTCCCGCCATCTACCAAATACCTTTCATACTTGGTAAGCAGGAAAAGAGGGTAGGAGAGAAGGTATAGGTGTAGCCAGGATGGCAGAGTGGGGGGAACATTCTCCACCCCAATAGAGGGGAAAAAGTGACCTTTGCCCTATTTTAGAGGTGGAATACAGTAAATCTTCGATGAGTCTTCCAAGGCTCCTGGGCACCGAATCTTTAGATATCATCCCCATCATTGGGCGCTTGACCGGTTTCACAAGGACCCCCCAGTGGTGGGGATAACGTCTGAACATTCGGTGCCGAGGAGACTTCGAACACTCATCGATGATTTACTGTAATTCCATTTTGCCCATCCCCCTACAGGAAAAAAATAATATTATGAAATTTACCCTAAGATAAATGTTACCCTCCCCTGATTGGATAATCCAGCTACGCCCATGGGAGGGGTTGATGTTCACCCCGGAGAAAGGAACAAAAACGGTTCTGTTTCAGCTCTGGAGATGATGGGCCCAAGGTATAGAACGTTCGCTGGAATGGTGATCTGCATGTTCTTCGCGTCGGCTATGTCCCTTCTGGCCTTACTGGTAACCACGTCTTTTCTTTCATTTGGAACGTTTAATACCACGCGAGACACAATCGTCGAAACAAAGACTTTTTTCGTTTGCCCCGTAGGGTTACTTGCTGCGACATTGGTTCGCTCTGTCACTGGCCACCTCGGTCCCGTTCGTTCTTTTGTTTAGCTATTACTGGGTGATACCGGAGTCACCGCGATGGTTGCTCAGCAAGAATCGTATCGACGAGGCGGAGGTGATCGTCCAACGTATGGCGAGGATCAACGGGAAAACGGTACCCAGTAATTTTCTTCGGAAAATGGAGGTAAGGAAACGTCACGATCGAGTGTCAGAAGCTACAGTGGACTAAATAATTTTATTTTAAATGAATATTCTAATCCGCGTGTCAGCACGAAATTAACTTTAAATAGCGACTATTAATTACCTACACGAAGTAAATCCAATAAATATCACTAAATATCTTATGCTACTCTGGGCTGTCCATAAAGATAGTTTATTCTTGTACACGAGTAGTGTTACAAATATTATATGTAAAATTAATTTGATTAACTTCTGTTTGCCTAAAATTTTCAGAATCATAAAAAAAGTTTTGATTATTATTCTTACTAGCTGAAAATTTTCGTATAATATACGATCTGCGGCCGCCCAGGTGCTATGGCACCTTTTGCACCCCCTTCAGGAACGGCTCTGGCCCCGAGCATGGCAATATAGTTAGAGTCCACTGTACGTGGTAGTGAAGCTACTAGTGAAACTACGAACCGTGTCACCTGAACCTGTTTTCAGGTGGAGATTCTACGAAGACAGGGGATTTCTTGTAACGGAACGAACTCGGGGGAGAACGGGACAGGTCAGCCCGAGGACAGATCCCCGCCACCGGCTGCAACCCCCATGGACCTGGTCAGGAATCCAAACATTCGGAAGAAATTCTTCATTTTGGCGTTCGACTGGGTGGCGAACGCAGTCGTCTATAACGGACTGTCATACAACGCCACGAACCTCGGGGTCTCCGATTACCTCGCCTTCTTTATTGGTAACACGCTCTCTCTGTTCACGAGGAAGTCCTTGATTGGATTCTCCGCCTCGTTCCTGCGCGTCGTCGCTTCTATAAATATGTTTTCGCAGCGAGATCGTGCGCGATTGTACACGATTGTATGCCGTGGGTACGTAATTACTAAACTACGGATGTATGCGCATTTATAGCGTCCCTTGACAAGCAAAACGTAGCAAATTAAATATTCTACTGAAATTCAATCATATTCGGGTATTACTATTAACATTTTAAAGTCCTAGAGTCCTAGAGAATAAGAAATAAAATTCGATCCAATTTGGTTTTTTTTTATATATCAGTGTTCAGAATTTGTAAATTTGCATAAACATCCGCAGTCTAGTAATTTTACACTGAATGATGTGAAACGCCTATTTCAATTCGATCGGTGTCGAGGTGTATCGATGATCGTCTAGGAAACGACTCGTTCTCTCGTAGGCTCTCGACCGATTCGAGCGAATTTCTTTGATCCGCGGTTGCTTGCAGGCGGCCTCGTCGAGATACCATCCTACGTGATCACCTGGTACGCGATGGATCGACTCGGCAGAAGATGGGTACTCTGTCTGACGATGCTTCTGGGCGGACTGGCCTGTGTATCCTGCATGTTCGTTCCCGAAGGTACATTCAAGTCTCTCGACACAACGTACAGTGGTTCAGAACGCTCTCTTATGAGTTCGAAAGCTTAATTAACATTTAATTTACGATTAAATTAACGATTTAGTTTTTAAATTAAATTAAAGATTAATTCGAGATATTCCAATTTGATTCCAAATGAATCTCAGTGTCTTTATGTACTTCAATTGGAACTCCTAAAACATGTTGCTCTGAACCAGTGCGCGTCGTTGCACTCACACCCAGAAACTTTTCGTTTTCTATACGCTTCGTCTATGTCGTAGCAGACGCGGTCTGGGTGACGGTGTGCCTGGCGATGATCGGAAAATTCGGTATTGCCGCCTCGTTCGCGGTCTTCTACGTTTTCGTCGGCGAACTGTTGCCCACGGTGCTTAGGTCGCAGGCGATGGGTATCGCCTCGTTCATCGCTGGCATAGGTTTGCTCGCATTCCCTTACATCGTTCATCTTGCCGTGTACTCGAGGGTCCTTCCGTTGATCATAATGGGTACACTGAGCGTCGCTGGCGCGCTCACGTCCATCTTCCTCCCCGAGACCCTCAACATCCATCTTCCACAGACGATCGAGGAGGGCGAGCTGTTCGGCGCGGATTTCAAACTTTGGTCCTGCCCGACGTTACCCAAGTCAGTGTTAATCTCGTGTGTCCAGTGTTGCCAGATTTTTTATACGATTCTCGTAAACACAGTTGTCTAAAATTGTCCAAAGTTGGAATAGTAGTGTCAACAAAAATTTTTTAATTAGAGTATAGTTTTTTACATACGTCGAAATGACCGTTCGTTCCATTTCTGGTACTAAAAACAGGGGTTCGTATTTGAACAAAATCATATTGACCTCAAAATGACCTCTAGATTTAACCCCTGTGTCATGATCATTGTTACCATTAGGTGCCCCTTTTTAAATCCTGAAACATTCTTTGTTAAAACTTCATTCTCCCGAATTAATCTGGGGTACACGTCTTTTTGGACCACGCTGTATATAATACATTTAAATTCGAAATTGTAACTTGTGATTTCAACAGAAAATTCATCGCAATTTTAGTAGAATAATCGTCCAAATTACGATAAATCGTACGATCTGGCAACACTGGTCTCAGCATTGCCAAAAGTAGGGAACAAAATGGCTACGTGGAGACATAATGTCGTAGTAAGAAGTAGTGTATGTAGCTCCAAAATGTGACATCACCTTGTCCCTGGAGTAGGGAATTCTCCTGGCGACACTGCTCACGTCTAGTTCGGACATTATGCTCAAGTGTCTTTTCACCACGCGTTCGTTTCGCCATGTTGTTTTAGGAAGGGGAAGGACGCAGAAGAGAAACGGGAATCGTTACCGTTACGGTATTCGGTAAACGGCCGACCTGGGAGTCGGTCCTCGACGTCCAAATCGCCAGATGAGGCGTCGAGCCAGGACGCAGAAAGCTGCAGCCAGGATCAATCGACGCGACAAGAACCGATGGAATCAACGTGGAAATCGTCATCCGTCGACGAAACGACGTCGGGAACAGGGAATAACGGGGAGAAACGGATGGACGCGACGATGGTCGTGATCGAGCGAAAAAGGACGCAATGAATTCGCGTGCTCAATTCCAACGACACATCTCTATTGTAATTATCAGTATAGACACGCATCATCGTATTTATTTGTCCGTTTATTGCGACGTTGTTCCCGCGCCTGCGAAGCCAGCAGCAACCTTGACTGGTGCCAGCGGCGTATCGAGGAACGTACACACCGTCCTCTATTCTCTGACTCGCGCGCGCGCGCGCGCGCGCACGATGATCGCGAGAATCGTTTGCTACAGGGTATAAGGCTGTCCCAGCCGACCAGACGACAATACACACCCTTTGTCGGGGATAAGAAAGTTTTTCGTCGTCGAATAATTCTAATTCAATATCTCGTATTTCGGTCCAGTTGGGCCCAAAGTTGGTGAAACGGAACGACCAGTGAATCAGAAAAATACGTTCATCTCGTCCAGCTTCGCGCCACGAATATACACAACGTGCGTTCGCGATGTGTCGCCAAGGAGAAGAAACGAGACAGTCGTCTGTTTCTGTTGTTTCATCGAGACATTTTCGACGCGGTACCCGACACCGAACGAGCCGAGGACACCCTCGAACTCCGAAATCCCTCGTCCTTTGAACTTCCTGCCCAGAGTTTGGACTCCATTTCTACGACGGTGACCCCGATTGGTGACATTAGTGGACTTTGTATATTCGAAGTGACACAGCTGGAAAAATGCGGGAAATAGTGCACGTCCAGGCTGGACAATGCGGCAACCAGATTGGTGCCACGGTCAGTGTGCGTGCGTGCGTGTGTGTGTACAGTCATTAGTTTCGAACGAAAGAATCATCTCGGCGATGAGATGCGATCATTTTGATCGTTTATAGACCTCCTACAATCGCGTAAGACTAGGGACGTATCGTTTAACCTAACCTAGACGTCGCGAGGATTCTCGATATATAGATCGAAATCACAATCGATACGGTTCTATCGCATTTCACCAGTTTCCTTTTCGAACGACAGTTCTGGGAGGTTATCTCCGACGAGCACGGCATCGACCCGACCGGTACCTACCACGGAGACTCGGATCTTCAATTGGAACGGATCAACGTGTATTACAATGAGGCGTCCTTTGGAAAATACGTACCTCGAGCGATCCTGGTCGATCTGGAGCCAGGTACTATGGACGCTGTTCGATCAGGCGCATTCGGGCAGATCTTCCGTCCCGACAACTTCGTGTTCGGTCAATCCGGGGCTGGGAACAACTGGGCCAAAGGTCACTACACAGAGGGCGCTGAATTGGTCGACTCGGTTCTCGACGTGGTCCGAAAGGAGGCGGAAAGCTGTGATTGCCTGCAAGGCTTCCAGCTGACCCACTCGCTAGGCGGCGGTACCGGTTCAGGTATGGGCACTCTGCTCATCTCGAAGATTCGCGAAGAATACCCCGACAGGATCATGAGCACCTTCTCTGTGGTGCCTTCACCGAAAGTATCGGACACCGTCGTCGAACCGTACAACGCTACCCTTTCCGTTCATCAGTTGGTTGAGAATACCGACCAAGTGTACTGTATCGATAACGAGGCGCTCTACGATATCTGCTTCCGTACTCTAAAACTGTCCACCCCGGCGTACGGTGACTTGAATCACCTAGTGTCCGCCACGATGTCTGGCGTGACCACGTGTCTTCGGTTCCCTGGACAATTGAACGCAGATCTGAGAAAGCTTGCTGTGAATATGGTCCCATTTCCACGACTGCATTTCTTTATGCCAGGTTTCGCCCCACTCACATCCCGCGGTAGCCAACAATATAGGGCTCTGTCCGTGCCGGAACTGACGCAACAAATCTTCGACTCAAGGAACATGATGGCCGCCTGCGATCCGAAACACGGGCGCTATCTGACGGTGGCCGTGGTGTTTCGTGGCCGAATGTCCATGAGGGAGGTCGACGAACAGATGCTAAACATCCAGAACAAGAACAGCTCGTATTTCGTCGAGTGGATACCGAACAACGTGAAGACAGCGGTTTGCGATATTCCACCGCGTGGATTGAAGATGTCCGCCACGTTTATAGGGAATTCGACTGCGATTCAGGAACTGTTCAAACGAATCTCGGAACAGTTCACTGCTATGTTCAGGAGGAAAGCGTTCTTGCATTGGTACACCGGCGAGGGTATGGATGAGATGGAGTTCACCGAGGCCGAGTCGAATATGAACGACTTGGTCTCCGAGTATCAGCAGTATCAGGAAGCCACGGTGGAGGATGAGGGAGAGTTTGACGAGGAGGAAGGCGCGGAGGAGAAGTGAACGGATTTTTCGCAATCTATTCTTCTCCGTTTCGACCTTCTTCTCCACGGGGACCTCGACTCGGGAATATTCGAAATTTCTTGTGCAAGGTCTTTGGAAATAGGTTTTTCAACGGGACACGGAATTTTCGTAAAACAAAAAAATATGATTTTTTAGTAGCTTTGCATATCGCGACAGCGATTATTGCTTTTTTACCGATCTTTTCGACACCGAGATTTTCGATCGATTTTTATATATACGTAACCGCACCCTTCTATATACATATATATATACACATATACATATACATGTATCTACCCGTCTGTCTGTTTTTTGTTTGTCTGACTGTCTGATTGTTTGTCCGTTTACCTTATTACACACGTGTATACAAATCTTGTATATGATTTTAGAGAAAGTGTATTTAGCTTTGTTGGAAATTCAATAGATACTCTTTACGGGGTAACGAAATTGTTCGTCCACTTTTTGTGTTTTCAGCGATCGGGATCTAGAATGTGCTTGCACATACGTGGACAGTAAGTAGATGCATTTGTTCCGTACAAATACGTGTGCGTTGTATAGGGTGTTGATAAAAATTTGAGACAATTTCAGAGGGTGGATTCTAATTACGAACTAAGATGAAAATTATGAACGACGTAAATGCGTTCGAGGTTTCGTTTTTGAGTTATCAACACTTTAACTATATATGTACCAAAATGGGCACACAACTCATCTTTATAGGGAAGCTATGTGTGTTCATATATGATCACAGGAAAGCACTTCATCCTATGAATTGAAATTCTGTCAGATTCTCTGAATATTTTATCAAATCCTTATTCAATAGTTAAAGTGTTAATTGTTGAAAATGTACAAAATATGCGTGAAATACATATTTATCAACACCCTGTATGTACAGCAAGCACGTTTACTGTGGCGCGTCATCGAACTCGTTGTCGTCCTTCTAGTCGACTGGGGGATTGATGAAGCCAAGACCTTGGTAAAAATTGGTGATCGCGTATTATCTCATCGGTGCCCCCGAGGACAAACACTTTATTATTGCGTATATATCGTTCGGAATCACTCTGAACGAATGTTAATGCGGGCTCGACAGGCTCAGAGCGAGCGCCTCGATCGCCGAAACATTTATTTCCGCGTTCATCATTTTTCACTGAATATTCCACCAGCAGTCAAATATCTCCGTATCCCCGTACAGGTTCGCTCGCTCCTTTTTGGAGGGAGCTAAAGAAAACAATCTGGCTAAAAAGAAATTCTCGTGATTCGTTCCTCTTTGACTCGAAACTCCATAGAATTTGGATAAATAACCAATAGCCCGACAACCGGTAACCTATTTCACTCGCAAAATTACGGATTCGATTCCTCGAATTTCTGTTTCCTGTATTAAGAAGGAAGCAACAGAGGAGAAGAAAAAATGCGGGAAATCGTGCACGTGCAACTGGGTCTCTGCGGAAATAACGTAGGCGCAAAGGTAGGATCCTAACCTCTCGCGCCGAGTTCACCGAGTCGCGCACCCCGTCTCGCCATCTCGTGTGTGCTTTCGGCGTCGCGATGCTAACGTATGGCAGAGTTAGGCAGAATTTTATTTGAATAATACATAATGAAAAGCAGCAATATCTCAAATCGTGGCGCTTAAACAATTAATGAGATTGAGTAACCCATTGCCCAAAATGTCGACTTATTCAAGAAGTAGTATAATTTTCTTCTAAAAATCAGAATTTCCACGTTTATTCGATTAAAAATGACGAAGTATTTCTTCTATCTTTTATTCCTTATTCGAAATTCTTTATCTAGATCCGTAGATAGTAGTTTTAGTTCTCGTTTCTATTCAGTTCTGGGAGGTGATCTCGGACGAGCATGGCTTGTCGCCGGACGGTAGATTCTGCGGTGAATCGGAGCTCCAATCGCAGCGACTGAACGTGTATTTCACGCAGGGGCCAGGTACCATGCACCCTTCAGACCCAAATCTGTGGCTCGTTGCCGATAAAGAGATCACGAATCGATCGACTGTACCTTCCTAGACTGTAGATACGTACCGAGAGCGATTCTGCTCGATCTCGACCCGGGGACATTGAACTCGTTGCTGTGCAGTTCGTGCCGCGGGATGTTCAAACCTGACAACTTCGTGGCTGGTCGCGCGAGCGCCTCGAACAATTGGGCGAAAGGTTATTACACCGAGGGCGCGGAGCTTGTCGACGCGACGTTGGATCTCGTTCGCGCGGAAGTCGAAGCCTGCGATCTGATGCAAGGTGACAACAGAACGAATCTTTTTACCTTCCGGAAAGTTGATACTGGGGGACCTTTCCACCGTGACAGACACCATCACCATGGGCGTAGTCAGAGGGGGCGGTAAGGGGGGCACCCCCAGAGGGAAAAAATTAGATTTCTTCCCCCCAGCCCCTTAGAGGAAAAAAATATTGTATGAACTAATATTTTGTATGTAAAAACAAATCTAAAACCCATTTAAAATAATATTATGAAATTTATCTGAAAATAAATTGGGCCCCCACCTAACTGATAATTTGACTACGTCCATGACCACCGCCAGTATGTCTTGTTCTCAACGCAGGTATTCAAATGGTTCGCTCGTTGGGCGGCGGTACGGGATCTGGGGCGGGGGCGCTACTGATGACCAAACTAAAAGAAGAGTATCCGGGGCGAATTGTCAAGTGTTACAGCGTGCTACCCTCGGCAAAGATGTCAGACGTCGTGGTGGAGCCGTACAATGCGATTCTCGCTCTTGGAATGTGCATCGAGTGCACGGATCAGACCTTCTGTATGGACAATCATGCTCTGCATCGGATCTGCACGCGCGTGTTGAGCATCTCCACGCCAACGTACGGGGACGCAAATCACCTGATTTGCGCGTGTATGTCCGGTATCACTGCATGCTTCAGATTTCCGGGGCAACAGAACACCGATCTGCGAAAGCTACGCGTGAACCTGGTGCCATTCCCCAGGCTTCACTTCTTCGTTGCTGCATACGCGCCCCTAACCTCAAGAAGCTCCGCACCGTATAAGCTCGTGTCCGTTCCGGAACTGACGCAACAACTGTTCAACCCGAACAACGCGTTCATTGACTGTGAACCTAACCTGGGTAAACTGTTGACCGTGGCTACCGTTTTTCGCGGTAGAATGTCGACCAAGGTTTGTGAATCGAATTTTATTTCATCGAACACACAGTTAACGTATACAGTAAAACTTGGATTAGTACTTAAAATGGCATAAGCACCTGGTGTTTATCCTTACCACTGAGAGGATCCAACTTGGAACCAGTCTAGCATGTAATACCCGCGTATCGATGAGAGTAATCCAACGATGAAAATTTATTTTTTACTTTTTTTTTCAATAATACTTCTACTAACGGATTTGTGAGATTTTTTTGATTAAAACAAGACCAAACACGGTATAATTTGAATTCCATTACTAATTAAAGTTTTACTGTATTTCGTCGGTTTCTGAATGGATGGATTTTGTTCGGTTTCAGCGTGTGGACGAGCAAATGCTGAACATACGCAACCGCAACAGCCCGTATTTCATTGAATGGATCCCGAATAACGTTCAGACCGCGATCTGTGATATTCCACCACGTGGTGTCCGCATGAACGCGACTATGATATCGAACACGACCGCGATTCAAAAACCGATCAAACGACTGTCGAACGCGTTTGACACTATGTTTCGGAAAAAGGCGTACATTCACTGGTACACGGCGGAGGGTATGGACGAGTCCGAATTCGTGGAAATTCAGGGAAATGTGCACGATCTACTATCAGAATATCAACAACAAAAAGAGGCGTGAAGACACGAAACAAGGGAACGTGGAAAAGAAATTGGCCTACTACGCATATACATGAAAAAGTCTTATATTTTTGTTGTAAGGAACAAACTTGCGCTACGGTTAAACGCGTGCCACGATTATACGCATATATCATATATGAATAGTGTTACGAGTGTAACAGAGAAGGCAGATTTTTGGTTCCGGTACTTTGGCGTTTGGCGTTGCAGGTTGATTCTCGCTCTCTCTCTTGCTCATCCCTTCGTCCCCCTATCTCCCTCTTCCTCTTTCTCCTGTAAAGAATAATTCTTACTCTTCTCGCGACAACTAACGCCACCTCGTGTCTTCTGCGTGGATTCCATGACGTACCCCCCGCGTTGTCATCGTTCGAAGAGCACGCGAAGAAAGGAAAATAAAAGTAAGAAAGATGAAAGATAATGTATCCGCGTATAAAAGTAGAAAAAGTGATCAGAACTTCTCGAACAAGAGAGAAAAACAGAGAGAAAGAGAGGAGATCGAGGGAATAATCTCACGATAAAAAATTGCGTCGGTCTACTCCTGCTCGCATGTCTCGAAGTCATCGGCGCACTCTTCAGCCTCGAAGTCTTCCTCTGCAGTGGCTTCCTGGTATTGCTGGTACTCGGAGACCAAATCGTTCATGTTTGACTCAGCCTCGGTGAACTCCATCTCGTCCATGCCCTCGCCGGTGTACCAATGAAGGAAGGCCTTCCTACGGAACATGGCGGTGAATTGCTCGGAGATTCTTTTGAACAACTCCTGAATGGCGGTGGTGTTGCCGATGAAGGTCGAGGACATCTTGAGACCCTTCGGCGGTATATCGCACACGGCTGTTTTCACGTTGTTCGGTATCCATTCGACGAAGTACGAGCTGTTCTTGTTCTGGACGCTGAGCATTTGCTCGTCGACCTCCTTCATCGACATTCGGCCACGGAACACCGCGGCCACCGTCAGATAGCGCCCGTGTCGCGGATCGCAGGCGGCCATCATGTTCTTCGCGTCGAACATCTGTTGAGTGAGTTCCGGCACCGAGAGCGCGGAGTATTGTTGCATCGATCTGGACGTTAACGGTGCGAAACCTGGCATAAAGAAGTGCAAACGTGGAAACGGTACCATGTTCACCGCTAGTTTTCTCAGATCCGCGTTCAATTGTCCTGGAAACCTGAGACATGTCGTCACACCAGACATGGTCAACGAGACCAGATGATTCAGGTCCCCGTAACTTGGATTCGAGACTTTGAGGGTACGGAAACAGATGTCGTAGAGGGCCTCGTTGTCGATACAGTAGGTCTCGTCCGTGTTCTCGACCAACTGATGAACAGACAGGGTTGCGTTGTACGGTTCGACAACCGTGTCCGACACTTTCGGCGAGGGCATCACCGAATACGTGTTCATGATTCTGTCCGGATATTCCTCGCGAATTTTCGAGATCAGCAGAGTGCCCATACCGGAACCGGTACCACCTCCGAGGGAATGAGTCAACTGGAATCCCTGAAGACAGTCGCAGTTCTCGCACTCCTTTCGGACCACGTCGAGCACCGAGTCCACCAGTTCAGCACCCTCGGTATAGTGTCCCTTCGCCCAGTTGTTGCCCGCTCCGGATTGACCGAAGACGAAATTGTCGGGCCTGAACAGCTTCCCGTAGGCGCCCGAGCGTACCGCGTCCATAGTTCCTGGCTCCAGGTCCAGCAGTATGGCTCTCGGTACATATTTACCTCCGTTTGTCGACGTCGCAACTGAAAGTACACATTCTTGGATATTTATCGTGGGGCAGTCGAATATCTCGTTTGATTCGATAAAGGTACAGTGGCCTCTCGATAACTTCCCTAAATCGCGATTCTAGGAGCAGTGGGAATGCCAGTGAAGGTACGTGTGGAGGGGAATGGGCCTCTACGGAAAGTTATCGAGCATCCACTGTATATCGAGAAATCGGTTCGTGTCGATGGCACGCGGCGGGCTCGAGCCACCAGTTGACTGCGTCGAAGCATCCATATTAAACGGGGGTTTAGTCATCCTATTGTCATGCCAGCCGAAAACTCCGCGGACGGAAATGTGTCGTATACGGCTTCGGGCGGCGTTCTCGCGCCTGTACGGTTTGCAAATTAGCCACGCGACTAATTTTGTTTCGGAAACCGGCGCCAGCGTGACCAGTCCACGATGGGTGTCCAATTTAACGTGAGCACCTTCAATATCTCACTTGTTTTTGAAGATACAAAAATATGCGAGCGGAAAGTATTATATGATTAGAAGGAATAAATATTATTGTAACCAAAAGAACAGGGGTTCGCGAATCACTTCGAGAATTGTTCAGAAAACCACGAAGTACGGTTCTCGATTGAGAACACAGTCAAGGGGTGGTGAGCATACAAAGCGGCTATTTCGGTCTTAAACGCGATCCTTCCTTCCCTGTCCTGTCGTTTGTTTTTTCCCCCTTCGTACCTCCTATTGCCGCGAGACTGGCGTCTATTTTCGAGCCTGGAAGGAATTCGCGAACGCGTTCGGTTGACGTGTAATCCATAGTGAATTCGACCAAATTCCACTCATCGTTTTCGACCTTACATTTACTTTATAGTACATCTTCTGAATTTATATTCTCCTTACCCGAAGCCTCGTTATAATAGACGGAGATTCGTTCCAGCTGTAGATCGCTGTCCCCGTGATAGATGCCGGATTGATCGATTCCATGCTCCTCGGAGATCACTTCCCAGAACTGTAAAGGAAGATTAGGCGGTATTAGGGTGTTCTTTAAAAATTCCCCAAATTGTTTTTTCTCAAGCAAAAGACAAGAAGAAGGGACAAAGATGATTTTGAGCTCGTGGACAAGGATAACGTTCTGTCGACGGCTATAAATAGGAGTGCACGAAATTAACGCGGACTCTGTCCCCTGGCTCGGGACCACCCTCCTCCCTCCTCGACCTATGTCGTCGCTTTTCTCCATTTGTCTCGCCTTTCACTATTTTCTCTCGTCTTATTAATAGACAACGAACGTCGCGGTCCTCCCGACGACGAAACGACGTGATCCAGCCCCGAGAATATTCGAACCCCTCAGCATCTTTATATCCTACACCCTCTAACGCGAAAGCAAACGAATTCGCTTTTGTTTCAGACCAGGAATCCTAAGGTATCCTAACTCAGCAGTTCAAATTGCGATGGATTCGCATCGTGGAATGATTCGTGGGAATCTAGATGATAGCCACACTTAATTATCGATTATCGGAACAGTGCACTCAATTACGGTTCTTCGATCTTTCGCTCGTCTGATTAGCTGAAGAGGCCAACGAACCACGTATTTCTTCGAAAAGAGAGAAACTATTCCGTCCGTAGTTCGAATACAATCTTTAAGAAGGAGCTGCACTCTTATAATACCTTGTGTGTTTTCCAGGTACCGTCCAAAAATACCTTGAAGAATATGTGATTTTTGAGGTGTTTACTAAAACTAACATATTTCTCTTAAAGATGAAGATATTTTCACGTTTTTTCTATTTTATTATTCCTATCTAGTAAACGTATATTTCACCATATAAACTTATTATTTTATAAGGTACCGTCAATGTCGAGTCCCGAGCGATTTCATGCCCGATTCACAAATAACCTGCTTCCTCCTCCATGACCATCATCGTCAATGTCGAGTCCCGAGCGATTTCATGCCCGATTCACAAATAACCTGCTTCCTCCTCCATGTCGTGACGCGTCTACAGCAAAGGAACATACTCAAGACCCTTTAAACAACCGAAGAAGGAGGCGCTTTAAATTCCTTCTCATTGTCCGAGCGCCGCCCGTCTTATCCTTAATTCGATTACGAGCTCCGACCGTAAGTACGTCTTCGAGGGACGACAAATTCTTCCGTCTCGACGGAACGACCCACACGCGAGACTCCCTCGAGTCACCGACCGATTCGAATCTGTCGCTCCACGCCCCGAACCTGTCGTTCCACGGCTCGAACATGTCATTCTACAGTTCAAACATGTCGTTCCATGCTCGACTTTTCTAATTACGAGAAAGTACAAAATTGGATGGTACAAAGTAACGGAGGACGGTCGTTTGTAATTATAAAAGCGCAATTTCGAGAAAATCCCATTAAAAAAGGTACCCATTTACCCCGAATGAAAAGCCTCGCTATACTTTCTCGAGAGAATGAACGACTTTTCGAATATGTATCTTTCGCTTGGCCGACGATCTCGAGAGATAAAGGAGAAACTTTCTCAAACAATAGCTTCTAAAGTATGTGCACATGGCGAGTCTCCTATAGATCTTATCGTAGTTTGAAAGTAGGGATGTTCGATTCTCTTAGCCCAGATAGCACATGACGCCTTGAAGACGCCTATTTTACAGCTTATTTTAGGTCTAAAGCGTCTTTAAGCCGTCTTCAAGGCGTCATGTCTTATTTTTAACACGACACTGCCACATATGATATGTACATACCCTACCGGCCAAAAGTATGGGACCAGAGTTCATGATCGATGGAACACTACCTCATTCTCTTACGATAAAATAAAACTTCAGGAGTCAATACATATACAAATCACTTCTCATCAGTTTCAACACGCTACCTCCTTGTAGAATAATATGATCAGACCTGGGTCCCATACCTTTGGCTCTACATTCTACATCTAATGACGTGTCACCCAAGAGAATCGAATCGGAATCGAACATCCCTATTTGAAAGCTGCACGAGACATACCTTCGCGCCGATTTGATTCCCGCATTGTCCAGCCTGTAGATGCACGATCTCCCTCATTTTCAGTCGTCACTGCTGTTGGTAACGTCGGTACAGTCGCCCTTTCGCGTGCTCGAGGAAATGAAGCCTCGTCCTTCTTGCGAACAGCTGATCCTCCTTCGAGCCCTGTGACGGGAACAAACGTTTACTCTGACCCGTGTCTCTCTGTTATCTCTCTCTCTGCGTGTAGAGACGTGCGTGGTGTTTGCTCGAGTGAGCGAGATGCGTGTGACGACGAATGCAAGGAGATAGGGTGTGCGCGCGCGACACGAAGCGGGTTGCAACCGTGCTCTGCTCAGGCCGACTGTCGGTGTCGCGCAGGAGCGGCTGGGCGGGGAGGAGTGGAGCCTGCGAGGCGATATGTATACCACTTGGACAGGGGGGGCCAAGAAACGTGCTCGTGTCGGTGTCCTGAGGACGACTCTCGTGGACTCGAGCCCAGTTGCTCGTGACGAGTTCGAAAGCCGCGGAACGACCAGAGAGGGGAAATGTTCCTCTAGGTGGACGCGGAGAGGAGAACGACAATGTTCGAATCACAGGGGTAAAAAAAAATCGTAAAATATTTGCTTTTCTGTTGAAGTTTAGCCACAGGTGCAAGGCAGTAAGATTGAAGAATCAAAATTTGATGGATAGTATACTACCCTCCTTAACTCTATTCTACCTGATGTAGTCAGACATCCGAGAGAAATCGGTTTTTATAATTTTCTTTAATACAGGAAACGGTTAATATCATATGTAGTTATTTTATTTTTTTACACGTATGTTGACCATATATAATTGAAGCATAAACATAAGCCATAAGTTAGAACTATTTAAGTTAGTAGATGTTACATAGAACAATATAAATTAGTAAAATCATTTGAAAACCACTTAGGTCAAAGGAATTAGGCTGTTTCTAGAGCCTTAAATAGCACGCAGGGGGTTCTAGCTTCGACTAAAAAATGAAAAGCCTCATCCACCGTTTCGTCTCTAGCAAAAACCGTCATGATCGAAAGGATCGATCGACATTTCGGGGGTTCTGCGCGGGTGGCCCCTTCTGCCCGCTCGCGAGAAAGGCTTCACGTGATCGCTGTATGTACGAGCGTGAACGAGATGAAAAAAAGAAAAAGACAGACCACGGAAGGGGAACAGGATTTCCTGTTCGATGGTCTCGAGCCGCGCGCGTTCAACGGAAATGCAACTCGAGCGAGGATATCTTTCGGGGGCCCGCGTCCTTGCGGTTCAACGAACTAGATAATTCTCCATTTCATCTCGACGAATTCCATGGGCGCGAAATACGCTGGAAACTCGGAAAACTCCGAGCGGATCACGTGATCCCGTGACTCACCGTGGAAACGTTTCCTTTCGTTTTCTCCACTTTTTGTTCGTCGAAAACGATGATAATAATGGAGGACGACGAGAGCGTAATTTTGTCTCCAGCTGGGCGCAACAACTACGCACGATCCCCTGCCGCTGTTAAAAACCCCTTCTTCTATTATTGTAACTTCGTCCCTATCTCTCTCGTTTCACCCCCGTCAACGTTTCCGACCCGTTGCTCTTTGTTCGCCTCTACGAAACGTTCGTATCGCGATCAGCTAACGGTGCACCTAACGTCGCGTCGTTATCTTTTGTTCACCCGCATTATTACTGTTAATAATCCAGCCGACATGGCTTTTTTAGAGCGCAGCACTACATTTTACAGTTTTCGAGATTAGTGGAATAATATCGACACACCGTAGACATCAATCATCGATAATGTTGCTGCCTCATTTCAACCCTATCCATAAGTATAACGACACAGTACTGGGCCCTCTATGTCATCGACAGTTCGCTTCGAATCGACATTGCACGATATTTTATTCCTCCGTGAGGGAACTCGAGCGGCAAGTTTCGCTCGTTTCGGGCGCGGTGAGTATACATGTATGTATACCGTGCAATTAGTATGTCGCGTCTCGGAGTGGATCGAATTTGCGGAGCGAGACGACGACGTGCTGAACCAAACCGCTCCGAGTCACGCCACCGAGTATATAGCCGGACGATGAGTCATGCCGTCGTGAACTCCCGTGTCTGTAATTTTTTCGTTGGAAAAAAAGTCTCCCTAAAGTCATATTACTTATTTATTCCATCATTACGTGACACGCGTATACATCATAAAGTGAAATTAATGAACAGGTATACTTGTTTGATGAATGTAAATATGAGATTTCTGATGATACAACTTTTAATTGTTAGAGAATAATTATTCATCGGTAACCGTATTCGGTGACTTGTACGGATACGAGAAAAGGCTCATCAGTATCGTGACAAATCGTCTCAAAGCACAAAAAGTGTAACTATATTTAGATCAATGTCAATTAACGACGAACCAGTGTTGCTGGAAACTTTGCTAGCGATCGCATAGGCATAGAGATCGAGAACATTTTGTGAACGATAACCAAACATAAAGTAGATCGTCGTTTAGTGAGATACCATTGGTTTAACTGTATCGCGTCAATCCGTTATCTAGTTAACCGATACTGTCTGTCTGTGGCTAAAATTTCAGCGAAACCATTAATCGACCTGATACACCGACTATTTACTGTCTAGCACTGAAACCGCAAACCATTTGCATCCTGTTGCTAGCGTGCCGACCTCGAAACAGAATAGTGACAGCTTCGTAGAAGAATTTCCGATAATATGGTACATATTCGATTTAGCATTTTCCTTTCTGGAAACTTGATATGGTTATATTACTTCTGAATGTTAAGATCAGAACACGATTTTGATTTGCCCCTTTTTTTGTAGCAGTCAATAAATTCGGTATCTATAAAGTAATTGCAACGTGATTCGCGTACTTACTCCACTAGAGGTCATTACGAACCAACCGATTGTAACAGCTTTAATGAAAGATATGAGAATAGAAGGAGTAAGAAGGGAAGGGAAGAATTAGTTTCGTCCTAGGTCTGCTAGTTGGACTCACTAGTAATGCTATCTAGCAGATTAAGGATGTTTGGTAGACGATTGAGGACAATATATGTATATAGGAATCGATGATACATTTGAATAGTAGCGGGAAAGGCGATGTTAACTCCGACGCCCTCTGGTAGCGAGTATAGGAGGAACCGCCATACGATCGAACACTGTTTCCTTTCGGCAGATGCCGCCACAATCTAATAATTGCATAGTTTTCCTGGCTGGTCAATTCGTCCTTCTCTTTATCTAGCGGTCTATTAGAATTACCACGTTTTTTGCAAGACTTCATTTACATAAATTATACCTTCCGCCCCTTAATCCACAGCACCGTGTAAATTCTGTTTCCGTTTAATACAAGCGTCGATTACAGTACCTGAATGCTTCCTTTTCTTTCCTGCTAGGATATTCAGTTATGACGGCTACATCGATACTGCTGGGTTGAATGATCTACTTTATTCAGATCTATTTGTCATGGTATAAAAGTCGGTAATAAAAATGAGACAATTATATAAATTACAAAGTGCGCCTACAATTACGTAGTTTTATAAATACAAAAAGCCAATCGGTCTGATGCGGTACTTATAAGGCTAATATAATGAGGGTTCTTATAAAACATACACTTATATCATAATAATTTATTTAAAGACGGTGATGACCGCGAATAGCGGTTATACACTGGATACAAAGACGCGCCCGGTAAATCAACAGAGAAAAACGACGTAGAAAAATTAAGGGGACCGACAAAATTCTTCTCTTCAAATTGTTTCAGCGAGTACGAAAGTAATACGAAAAAGAAAAGGCGCGCCCCTTCGAGATTGGTGGAAAGAACAGTCTGTAAAAAAGAAATAAAAAGACGGAGGAGGTCCGGGGGAAAAACGCAGAGTTTAAGAAGCAGTACGAGATGAAGAGAGACAACAGGGGGGGGGGGTTCGGTTATTGCAGATAATAGAGGTCTTTAGTTCTCGTCGACTTCTGCTTCCTGTTCCTCGTCGAATTCCGCGTCTTCGTCCGCGGTGGCTTCCTGGTACTGCTGGTACTCGGACACCAAGTCGTTCATGTTCGATTCGGCCTCGGTGAATTCCATCTCGTCCATACCCTCGCCGGTGTACCAATGGAGGAAAGCCTTTCTCCTGAACATAGCGGTGAACTGTTCGGATATTCTCTTGAACAATTCCTGAATGGCTGTCGAATTGCCGATAAACGTGGCGGACATCTTCAGGCCACGTGGTGGAATGTCGCACACCGCTGTCTTCACATTGTTCGGGATCCATTCGACGAAGTACGAGCTGTTCTTGTTCTGGATGTTAAGCATCTGTTCGTCGACTTCCTTCATCGACATTCGTCCACGGAAGATAGCGGCCACGGTCAGATACCTTCCGTGTCGTGGATCACAGGCGGCCATCATGTTCTTCGCGTCGAACATTTGTTGGGTGAGTTCCGGCACGGAGAGTGCTCTGTACTGTTGGCTGCCGCGGGACGTGAGCGGTGCGAAGCCTGGCATGAAGAAGTGGAGACGCGGGAACGGTACCATGTTTACAGCGAGTTTCCTCAAATCTGCGTTCAGCTGTCCGGGGAACCTCAGGCAGGTCGTGACACCGGACATTGTGAGGGAGACGAGGTGGTTCAAGTCACCGTAGGTGGGCGTGGATAATTTCAAAGTGCGGAAGCAAATATCGTATAGGGCCTCGTTGTCAATGCAGTAAGTTTCGTCTGTGTTTTCTACGAGCTGGTGTACGGATAGTGTCGCGTTGTACGGTTCGACGACGGTGTCCGATACTTTCGGTGACGGTACAACGGAGTATGTGTTCATGATTCTGTCGGGGTATTCCTCGCGGATTTTCGAGATAAGCAGGGTACCCATACCGGAACCGGTACCACCGCCGAGCGAGTGAGTCAGCTGGAAGCCTTGCAAGCAGTCGCAGCTCTCGGCCTCCTTTCGGACCACGTCGAGGACAGAGTCGACCAATTCGGCGCCCTCGGTGTAGTGACCCTTGGCCCAGTTGTTGCCGGCCCCCGACTGACCGAACACGAAGTTGTCGGGTCTGAAGATCTGTCCGAACGGTCCCGAGCGAACGGAGTCCATGGTGCCTGGCTCCAGATCGACGAGGATGGCGCGTGGCACGTATTTTCCACCGGATGCTTCATTGTAGTACACGTTGATGCGTTCCAACTGAAGATCGGAGTCGCCGTGATAGGTACCAGTTGGGTCGATGCCATGCT